ATCCTATAAAAATATGGGAAGACACATGTTCCAAGAAAGGATGAATTCAGAATCATGCTGAAAAACAAGGAGGAGTACAATGAATGGGAGCAAAAAAAAAAAAAAAAGGAAGAATTAAAGAAAGTGATGAGAAAGCTAATGAAAAAAATAGCTAAAGTTAACAATAGACAATTCATGGAAGGCTAAGAAATATATGCTTAATCAAAGAGATATAAAATAAAGCAGCAATGAGACAAGGATTCTATTTTTTGATGCTTCTATTGGTTCCTGCTCATGGCGCCTTTCTTCCTTGTGTGTTCTGTGATTTTTGCCTGTGAACTCATGTGTGGTAGAATTCTCTCTCTCACAATCCTCTAATGCCTGAATTTTTGTACATTATTCCAGACAGGATTTTTGTTTGCTTCTGCCAAGTGTATTGGGGTATGACCAACCCAAGGCCACTTCAAAACTTATTCGTTTGAGGTTTTTAGGGCAAACAAGTAGTGAAAAGTTATCTTGACTATACCCAAGAGGTATAGTTTCTAGTTAGGAATTCTCAGGGAATATTCTTCCATCTCTTCCCAGGGAAAAGTAGAGAAAATAAAGTTTCTTTTCTATAGTGCTGGTATTTAATTTTTAACAGATTTACCCTCAAGCAAAGGTATGTACCCTTGAGGCTCTAGCATTATTATTATTATTATTTTAGTTTTAATCCTCACTCGAGGATATTTTTCCACTGATTTTTAGATAGAATGGAAGGAAGGGAGGGGGAGAGAGAGAGAAACACTGATGTGAGAGAGACACATTGATTGCAGGACCACCATGGGGACTGGGGATCAAACCTGCAACCCAAGTACATTCCCTTGACTGGGACTCACACTCTCGACCCTTTGGTTTGTGGGCTGATGCTCTGAGCCAAACTGACCAGGACTATTAAAAACAATTTCTTTTTGTTAATCCTCATCCAAGGATATTTTTTCCATTGATTTTTTTTTTTTTTTTAGAGAGAGTAGAAGGGAAGTGTGTGTGGGGGGGGGAGAGAGACATCAATGTGAGAGAGACACATCGATTGGTTGCCTCCCCAAACAGGGCTGGGGATCCAACTTGCAACCCAGGTATGAGCCCTTAACTGGGAATCAAACCCAAGACCCTCTGGTGCGCAGGCTGACACGCTAACCATGGAGCCACACTGGCCAGCCTGAGGCTCTAGCCTTACACAGGAATCATCTGACAGGTTTCAATGTTCCAGAACTGGTCCAGGATCTGTACATCCATCAGAATGGAAACCCAAGGTCATCAGGTGTTAGCAGGTGACCCTCAGGAAGAAATCCAATTTTCATGTTCCTTGTCTCTCTAATTCCTGCTCTTAGACATACTTTTTCATTTTTGGTCAACCAAGAGACAAAATGTGTTTTTAATATTTAAACTAACATATTCAGTCGTTTTTCAGTCTTCACATAGCTAACCTACAATATTACCAGTAATAAAAGCCTACATTTTTATTGTTTTGTTTCTTTTTCAGGTTAATCATCTCACTAAAGGCATATAGTACATGATTCTTATCCACAGAGAACTTGTAATCGACTGAAGTTATGTAAGAATGGAAGGAAAAAGTTCATTGTAAGAGGGACACATAAAAGCACAATGACACAGTACTGAATGTGCTGCGTGGGCGACATTAAATGTGAAAGGTTATTTTAACCTCTCTCTGGGTTGGAAGGAACTGAGCGGAGAAAGGACACAAAAAGAAATTACTTCAGTCAGCATGAAGAAAGGCCTGAACTCAATGCATGGTGTAGACATGGAAACAAAACAAAGTCTCCAACACTCGGATGGGAGAACACACAAGGTTTAGGGGAAGATGGAAGGAAAGAGTAGGAGGAATTTGTCCAGCAAAGTAGCATTCACAGGATTTCTTACTGAAAGATGGTGATGCCTATTTATTTGGAAAAGCTGGTTAAGAAATTAGGTTTCCACGCATTAAACTGCACAGACTCACAGGGCATTCAGGAAGACACGGACGAAGCTCCTTCACCCCCATTTTTCTCACCGGTGCAGGGAGTCCACCCTGTTCTCCAGCATCTCCACAGACGATCACATCCACCCTGAGGGCTTGCCCACCTCTCTGCCGATGTTCCCGCCTACACGTTCAGCCAAGGCCTCCTCACTGAGCTCACGTGTCAAGTGGCTTCTTCGACTTCTATTTTGAGGATGAGTGTTAAAGCTACACCTCAGTCTTTGAACGTCTCTTTCCCTACACTTATTCCTATTCTTACATCACATCTCTCAATAAATTACACCATCACTTAATCTGGCAGAAAACTGGAAATTACCCTTGAATCTTTCTTCTTCCCTACCAACAACAATATCCAATGAATGACTGTGAATGGATGACATTAACTCTTTGAGAATTCGTCGATTTATACTCTTCTATCTGCCTTAGTTTAGGCTCATATCGTGTCTCAACCAAATTGCTGTAATTGTTCGCTAATTAGACTCTGGCTCGAGGTCCATGTCCCTACAATCAATACTGCAAACCACCAACAGTGTGACCTTTCAGAAACATACACTTGATCACATTACTCCCAGGATACTTAAGAGTCCTCACTCACTTCCCCACTGACTGACGTTTATGATTCTCAAGTGGAAAATGAGACTACACATTTGTTATCCAGGAAGCTGTGTTCCTTTGGTCAAAAATCATTGCTGGTGTCAACTAGTGTTACTGATAGAGAAGGGCCACTTGAGTGTGGTTTTCTTGGAAAAATTATCAACCTGTAGGAAAAGGCCAACCTACAGGTCACATGTGGATGCCTGAGAACGTGCATGTCCTGGGCCATGATGGTCTCTCTGGCCTCATCTCTCCCAGTCCACTCATCTCTCCACACTCCCCTCTCTGCCACCCGAATACATGACTCTTCACTGACCTGGGTGCTATTTGCAGCTCCCAAAGGTGTTCAGCTGCTCACGTGTTTTGCAGTTTGATATTAGTTCTCTCGTTTTGGGATTCTCTTCTCCCATTTGTCTGTCTGACAAATGCCAACTCATCTTTCAAGACTCACATTAAATGTCATTGCAATCAAAGGTAATTTTTTTTTCCATAAAGCCTTTCCAAGTCTCCACCCCAGAACTGACAACTCCCTGCCGCGCATACTTTATCATCTCACTGGTGATCTGTACTCCTTTTAGTTTACAGGTCTGTCTTTCCCCTAGGGAAACATAGCTTCTTTCAGGGCAAGATCCATACCTCATCATTCTTTGAATCTGCAGCCCCTGCTACAGTGCCTGGCATACAGCACTTCTCAGAGAGGGTATTCAGTGGCTGAAGACTATGTAAGCATCACTAGCACTCAGATTCTCTTGCTAGACATACTCTATAAACATCTGCATGGGAAAGGGAAGTAGGAAAAACGGAAGCAACAGAACTGAAGTTTACCCTCATACAAGTGGTTGTTCCCACACATAAGAGTTTAGGAGCTACAACTGTTAAGGTAATAACTACATTCAAAAAACAGAATTTTTAATATTCTTACATATCATTTGAAGTTCTCTTGACCTTTTAAAAAAATGCTGGAATGATATGATCAGCTCTATAAAGCCCAACAGTTTGTACATATTCAGAGAGAGAGAGAGAGAGAGAGAGATTGTCACCAAATTTCTTACACCTAAATTGTGTTATTGAAAGTCCATGTTAAAGTTACAGAATATGTATTTCACTGACAAAAAATGTTAGGTCTTCATAACGGAGTCAGAACCTTAATAACAAGGATTTCATTTTAGTGACATTCAAGATATTACACTATATTTTTAACACATCAGATACAACTACAATTATATTTATGTTAGAGTTGCAGTTTGTTAAGTGGCTTATTAGATTGTTCTAAATGTATGTCTGAGTACATTTTGGTTTATTAAACAATTATAAGTTGTCAGTCACTGTAAATGGATTTACTTGGTGAGTTGTACAATATATACTGTACTCATTGGTTAGAGACCAGTTAAAAAACAGAAGTTAGTCACCGTTAAGTAGGCTTACTTCCCCTGAAAATTGAAGAATAATCCAGTGATGACAAAGGAGACAGATACCTTTGAGGCAGAGAATGGGTGTCAAAGAGGCAGGGGGTTGGGGAAGTGCTGACTACACCTCTGTAAAGAAGAAATAAGAAGGGAAGGGACCCAGTGAGCTAAGTCCAGTGACTGCTGGTTTCTTGACTGGAGAGGCACAAAGAGCCTTTGGGATGCCACAGTCTCCCCCGAGGCCATGCAGCTCCCTGGAGACATAACTGCTGCCTCTGACCTTTTACACACTTCCAGACAATGACAGGATGACTCCTCGGAAATGGCTTCACCGCCCCTGAAAGAATGTTCTAGAGCAGGGTGTCCCGGGAGGAATGGCAGACATTTAGAAGATCACATGAGGGTATTCTCATTTTTTGGTAGTCCACCTCTGCTGATACGGTGGGGGAGATTTTAGGGGTCCACTAATGAATTCTTTTTTTTTTTTTTAATGGTTATATTTTAAGTGTATTAGAAAAAAACAGAACTAGCACAGTAAACCCCTAACTTGGTGGATGCCATTACTTGCGATGAGTCTCAGGTTAAAAAAAAAAATAGTGAGTGGATCTAAAACTGTTTTAAAGAAAAATATTAAGTCAATAAGGATACAAGTGAGATGCAGTTCAGGTGAACATGCAGAAAACGGTGTTTGCAAGGTCCTGAAGTCGGAGAAACGTGGCAGAGATGGGCGAAGGTGCCACCGCGCTCAGATTGTGACAACGCGGCTCTCGGGCTGTGAGTCAGGAATCGGAACACGACTCTGAAGCCAAGACACAGAGTCCGAACGTCTGGCTCACACTGAGGTTGCTTTGGTCTTGGAACGGAGGTTCCAGGGAATGAAACTCAGAAATGTCACCGTGAAGACGGCAATAGATTGTGCCTGCTTATGAGGCTAAGAAAATAGAAGCTGATGATCCGACACCCGTGTAACACAACGTATATGTTAAGAATTCGAGAATACTTACTTTCCCTTTTTAATCGTGTTCCTGCCGAGCAGTGGATCAAGGACAGGGTCCACCATTTCCTCGAGGTTTTCAATTAAGATGACATCACCGAAGGCCAGAGCGGTTTCAATGACATTCAGAAACCTTGAAATTCAGTCAGAATGGAGACAGCAAAAGGTATTTAAGCACAGGGAAAATGTTCACAATTACTTCTTTACATTATATTGAATATTTTAGTCCCCCGCCCCCTTTTTTTCAATCCTCACCCAAGGCTATCTTTACATTAATCTTCAGATAGAGCTGGAGGGAGAGAAGGAGGAAGAGAGAGAGAGAGAGAGAAACATCGATGTGAAAGAGACACATTGACTGGTTGCCACCAGCACAACCCCAACCAGGGCTGGGGATGAACTGCAACTAGGGTATGTGCCCTTGGCTGGAATCGAACCCAGGACTCCTTGGTCTGCAGGTGACGCTCTTACTGGTAAGCCATACCAGCCAGGGCATGTCCTATTTTAAATGGGACAAACTTACTTAGCAAAAGCTATCTTATAAAATAGTATTCTTCCTTAACTAGATTTCATAGAAATTAAAGATTAGATTTTGAGATAACTTTGTTGTATTTTCCAAGTAAAATTCAATAGTTTGAACTGATAAGCCCATGCATAAATTAGTTACTTTTGATAATAATCATGGTTGAAATAATTAAAACCATCCAGACAGTATACGTTTAAATTTACTCAATAGATCCTTTTTTGATAAAAAATTCAAACTATATTTAATGCCTTGTGGGTTTATCAAACTTTCATTTTTTAAACCTTTAGGTTCAGTCCGGTGAAGTGGTAAACTATTATTTTATTCCATTCCCATTGTTCAAAAGCAGTCTCTCTCCTTGAAAAGAGTTTTCTCCGCGTATTCAGATGAGTGAGGAGCACATTTATCGGCACAACTGCAGGTATTCCTATTTCACTGAACTTGTGGAAGGATGACAGAGAGGACACCTGCTTAACATCAGTGAGTCTACAATTATTTATTGCCCCTGAACTGAACGCAGCTATGTACAAGACGGCTTTCCACTTAGGAGACCGCATTAGTCGACTCAATGACAAAAAATCTCTTAGCAGATTCAGTTCTCAACAGTGACATGTAATGCGGACTAAGAAGTTAAATTACCTTCGAGCAGTCGGTACTGGGACTCACGGCCGTGTTTCAGCCCTACTGCAGGCAGAGTCTAGTATCTAGGAATCTGACGGGAAACACTGAGCCTATAGCGCAGTTGACAATTCCTGTGATGTACCAAATGCCCTAAGGAAGGGTCACAATCCAGCTCATGTCCACTCTCGGCCTCCGGACACAGCGCTTTCTCTCACCTTCAATCTGATTTCCTCTTCGGGTCACTGGATGCTGCCCCACCGACACGCTTTGCAACAGAAAGCCTTTCCACGGAACAGGGTCAGGCAGGTAAGTGCCACCACACCGTCACATTTTCAAAGCGGCAGCAGGGAGGTCTACCAAATGCCAGGACTAAACCAGACCGATTTCACAGCAGCGAAGCCGAACGCCACCCCTCACCCTGCACGTACCCTTTCTGGCCCAGCTGCGTGACTTTCAGGTCAGCCCCGTACTTCTTCTTGATCCACTTGATCCCCTGCTGCTGGGGATCGACCAGCAGGGGCCAGCGCTCGCAGTGCGTGAGGATGGCCGCGTTCTCGGCTGACGTCCTGTCACCGGGCAGTCCCTCGTTACTCCAGGCGGCAACGGTAGCTTCGTCCGTCAACAGGGCGATCATGTCCAGGCCTTCGGTTACTGGGATTGAAACCTTTAAATTCAGAGTTCAATGCAAGAAAAAGACTCAGAACCCCAAGCCAAGAGAAGACATACAAATTCTCTGTGGGCTCTCAGAAGCCAAATAAAACTCTCCTCATGAAATACAATTCGACCCAATAAGCCCAGGATTTACCTCTTAGGAGTCTGTCGACTGCAGCAGTCAACATCTGGTTTATTACTGCATCTACCTGACTCCAAGGAAAAGGGACTTCGCCCTCTACATACATGTACGGCTACTCCAAGAAGGCGAGAGTAAATTTAGCACCAAGAAGTGTGGCCCGTAACAGAAATGTATTTGCCCAATGGAGTCATCACCCCACGTAAGCCGTGCTAAAATGCGACATCTTGGTCAGACATTTCATCTTTTACTACAGGCCCCACCACAAAGAATGACTTCTCTTTCTCGGGTGGGTGAATGGGACGCATTCAGTCCACTGGGGCTCCATCAGCTTGCCGGCTGGCCCAGGAACCTAGCTTACAGTCTCTCCTCTGCCTGCACTGTGATTGTGAGAAACAACATGGCAAAGTGGGAGCTGAGAGAGAGAAAGAGAAATCTACTTTATTTTATTTATTTATGTATTTATTTATTATCCTCACCCAAGGACATTTTCCCATTTTTTGTTCAGATAGAGTGGGAGGGGGGGAGAGAGAGAGAGAAATGTTGACGTGAAAGGGACACATCGAGTGGTTGCCACCCGCACAAGCCAAGGAGGGCCGGGGACAAACTGCAACCGAGGTACGTGCCCTTAGCGGGAACCGAACCCAGGTCTCTCTGGACCGCAGGCCGACGCTCTAACCGCTGAGCCAAACCAGCCAGGGCAAGAGAAATCTATTTTAAAGAATAAGGATCATTCTTGACCAAAATGGACTAACTTTACCAAAACGAAACAAGACCACGGAAAGCACTTTATTTGCTGGGTCATCCATCACCAAACACTTATTGAGCACCTCCGACACATAAAACAGTGTCTGGAGACACCAAAATGAGCAAGATGAAAAAGGAGCGAGTCCCAGGACTTGATGGAAACATCCTCCATAAGAGACTATGGGAAGAGCCCAACTTGGAGTAGGCAGGCGAGGCCGTAGAAGCGGTAGGAGTTTGATGTATTGGTTGGCCAGAGCTGCAGTAGACGCAATGCTGGAAAAATTCCCACAGTAAAGCTGGGGTTCAATTTGATACCAATATAATGAAAGTAGCACAATATTCCTGACTACAATGTTATCTTAGAAATAAACTCTATCTCCTAGTAATATGAGCAACAAGCCTTGGAATGGACACTTGGTATCTTTTAGAATGCACATCCTCCTATTAGCCAAGGGTAGGTGGCTTTAATTTCTTACCCCCACCCCCCCCCATGCTACTCTTTGGATGAAACAATTTTGGGTAGCAGTGTAATCTGGATCCTCAAGGTCATCTATGCACATTGTCCCTGTCCTTTTCAGTTACCACCATGCAACTTGGTTTGCTTTATAAAAGAATTCCCTCCAACTGATCGTTAATAAATGACAGGTCTGGTTTAAAGATTTTTAAAAAAATCATGCAGATCACAGTCACTTGTTGACTGGCTCATTTACAAACCATTAGAATCCCCGGACACCCAAGCAAAACAGGCCAGAGACCCCTGGCGGACAGCGACCTGCAGGCAAGCAGAGCTCTGGCAAACGCCCCGCACACCGAGGAGAAACGAGAGGAGTTGCCTCTTGCAGGGAAGGGCAAGATAAGGGAACACCACCAAAGACAAATGAGTAGAAAGTAAACATTAGTGAACAATTGCAGCTCCTCGTGGACCCTGGCACAGGTTCATACAGATGTGATTATCCTCCCACTTTGCGGCGGCGGAATTTAGAAACAGAAGACAAGTAAGTAGCTCAGAACCCGGAAACCGCCGGGTATCTCAGAGACAGAAACGTCTCTTCCAAAGGGTGTCATTTACATAACTGGGAATCACTGTCTTCCTTTCGTATTACGGCCAGAGATGAGTGGGACAACGAGCTGGTCGGGTTTTAGGGTCTGTTTCTCAGTTTGCACGATGCCCATGTTCTCAAGAGAAAAAGAGAGAGTGTATACTGAATTAAAACAGACACAGAGTCCCTGAGGAGAACGTTGGGGCCACAGCCAAACACAGGCCCACAGTTAAAAGGAACGTATATTTGGTATATACCATCAGAAAATGATCATTTTGCCTTGGTTATATGTTTAGACATTTTGGATAAATCAATTAATTTTATTTGTTTTATTTGTATGACTTCTTCAAAGCAAAATTTTATTTCCATAGAATCCCATGCATATAATTTTAAGTAAATGGGAAAATACAAATCAACAGACGGGAAACTTGCCAGAAACACACACACTAAATATTGCCATATCGGCCATGAACGACCACTTTGAACTAAATTTGAGGAGGCACATTTTCGACTTGAAAAATGTAACATGTCCGGCAGCATAAGCCATACTGGCAGTAGCAGTCCACACCCCAAGTGAGGAGTAACTGTAACAATAAGACAAAGTGAAGTTCAACAGCTCAGACACCAGGAAGCAGGTGCATTTCCCTATACTTTTGCAAATGAGAAAAGTTTATGACTGAGAAGGCAGAGAAAACCATAAAATAGAACAGTCTGAAGTAGTCGCAGGGTGATACAGGCAAAGACGCCCATATAGAGGGTTCAAGCTTGAAGATGTGACTGAGAGGAAGATACGAGAAGAATCAGACCGCTAACACTGTTGAAACTCAAAATACAGTAAGAATTGGACAATTAGCAGAATGCTTTACCTTCTTATATAAAAGCATGTTTTATGGCATAATTTCTTAAGGAAAAACCTTGAACTTCCAGAGAGTAATACATGTAACCCCCTTTCTAAAATCTGCAATGTAAAAACATGGTTTGATGCTAGAGATATATTAAATAATTGAGTTGCAGAGAACTTCTTCTTTTATAACTATGAAATGCCTTCAACAATGAGCTTTCCCTAACACATTTAATTTTATTTAAATTGTAAAAAGTCCATTGACATGCATTTATGTCATAAAAACCACAGTTGTCCCTATCGGCAGGGGACTGGTTCCAGGACCCCCCACCGATACCACACTCTGACTGACACTCATGTCCCTGATATAAAATGGCATTGAGCCCTGGCCAGTTTGGCTCAGCAGTTAGAGCGTCGGCCTGCGGTCCGGAGAGACCCGGGTTCGTTTCCCACTAAGGGCACGTACTTCGGTTGCAGTTTGTCCCCGGCCCTGGTTGGTCGTGCGGGTGGCAGCCACTCGATGTGTCCCTTCATGTCGATGTTTCTCTCTCTCTCTCCCTTCCTCTCTCTCCCTCCCACTCCATCTGTACAAAAAATGGAAAAATGTCCTCGGGTGAAAATTAAAAAAAATAATAATAAAAATAAAATGGCATTGAACAAAGCATACAATCGACCCTCCGCATCCTCAGATTCCCAACCACGGTTCAAAACACTACTCTCAATCTGCAATTGATTGAATCCATGGATGAGAAACCCGAGGATACGGGCTGCCTATATACTTATTTCTTAACATTCACATACAAGTGGACTCGTGTAGTTCAAACCCATGTTGGTCAAGGGGCATGTGAAAACTGAGGCAAACTTACCAATGAAGAAATACAGGGAGATTTAGGATATCTTAAGGCCTGGATATATAAATTAAGAACCTGCTGTTTAGACCTTTGGGATTACACAGTGTTGCATAGAAAACAGTGGCGTGGAAGTGAGAGGGCTGGTTTCCTGTTCCATGTGACCTCAGTCATTTACCCTTCCTGTGTCTGTTTCCTCTGCAAGGAGCAGCTCAAACTAGATGATTTTAAATCTTCCACATCTATGACTTCACTTTGCTTATGGATTTGAACTTTCTTCTCTTTTTTCTTTTTTTAGAGAGAGGAGAAGAGGGAGAGAGAGAAACAATGATTTGAGAGAGAACATTGGTTGCCCCCCGTATGCGCCCTGAAAGGGGATCGAACGTGCACCAGATGATGCCATCCTACTGGGCCACACCTGCCAGGGCAGATTTGAATTTTCAAATTTAGGGTGAGCTATTTCTATGCTTACATACAAGATGCTCTACTTTTCATCTGAAAGTAGTCATAAAAAAACAAACTTTAACAAGTAACTCAAAATATTAGTAAGAAAATAAGTTTCATACTATACAATAACATAATCATCCAAATTTCAGTTATCAGTTTTGTTTCTACGATTAATTTTCATATTTTCCATCTCCTTTCACCAGCATTAAAATAAGAAAAACTGCGGCACACAAGAAACACCTCCTTCACGCGAGAATTTCGCCACTGGCACAGAAGGCCTGGCATACACACCGCTTTTACTGCTGAAATTTCAGTGTGATGCCTCCCCGTGTGGACAGGGTAAGGAACTGACTTACCTTCTGCTGAAGAAAGGGGACCCACTTGCAGTCTACCAGTTCCTGACGATACTGTTTTGTAAAGGAGCCGACGTAAGACACAAAGGCGGCCATAAGGAGAACGTCTCCACAGAGTGTCTTCTCTTGAGCTTCCAAGGATTTAATAGACTGACCCCAGCGGATCTTCTCAGACTGAAAGATAGAGACTCAGCTGTAACTGCAGGGTGAGCATCGACTCAACAAACGCTCAATGTGTTCCTTAGAGCACAACTGAGCCCTGGCCAGTCTTCAGAAGGGCAGACCCAGACCGGTTGGCATGACCATTGCAATCTCATGTTTGAAGCCCACGATTTTGAAGGAGCTCTGATACTCTCTTCAGTTATGTTGACTACACAACATTAGAGCTTTTACATCTTCTCGTTGGACGCCCTACCTTGTTCATTGTGATTGAGGTCCTTCTTTAAAGGCTGATGACAGTCACACTCCTGTCCGTCTGGCAGCAGAGGGTCAAGAGCGATGGCCAAGATTAAATGTTAGGATTTTTAATGGCAGCTTGGCTGCTTTCCACATCTCCTGCTTTTTAGCAGTGGTACTACCGTACCGCCCTAGGTAACCTTTTTTCTTTTCTTTAACATTCTGGCAATGGGCTTATTATAGAGAAAGGAAAATGACAACCATTCATGTTAGTTAATTAAAGCATAAGGCTTAGCCCTGGCTGGTTTGGCTTGGCAGTTAGAGTGCTGGCCCTCGGACCGAAGGGTTGTGGGCTTGATTCTGGTCAAGGGCACATACATGGGTTGCAGGTTTGATCCCTGGCTCTGGTCAGGGTGTGTGTGTGAGGCAACCAATTGATGTGTCTCGCTCATCTCTCTCTCTCTCTCTCTCTCTCTCTCTCTCTCTCTCTCTCTTCTTCCCTCCCTTCTACTCTATCTAAAAATCAATGAAAAAATATCCTTGGGTGAGGATTAATAAAAAACAAACAAACAAACAAAAACACTAAGGCCTAAAGAGCCATCTGTCCTGAATCCTATTAATTAAAGAAGAGAGCTGGTCATTTATAAACTCAGGTTCAGAAGGACTTCACTAGGCTTGAAGATGATACACTCAAAGAATGCTGTTGGAGTCCTTCTATCTGGTTGGATGGCCATTTAAAAATTTGATTTCAGGTTAAGTAGTGGAGCCCTTAAAATTGGATTTGAATAAAACTGCAATAAATATCTACGGATTGATTAAACTACAAGGTAGCTCACTAATTCACTTTGTTTCAATGCATGCTAGAAATGAATACACTCTGAGCACATGCAAATGAACAGGATCTGGGGGGAAAATCAACAATTTGACAGTACAGGCAAAGAAGATCTCTGTGGAATTTAGCTTTTCTCATGAAACCAGACCACTGAAAACAAAAAATGACACATGTCAGAATAGATTGGATTGCCAGTTGCCTGCAAGCCATCATAATACCCACAACACTGAGGTCATGAGAGCAGGGTGAATGGTTATCACAGCTGTGTTAAGAGAGTCTCCCTGCTTTGCTTCGTACAGATCACCCCAAGTGAGCCACAACAATGACATACTAAGGAGCTTCAGCTCTTTACCCTCTTTATAGAATTCATTCATTTCCTTCCTCAGCTACAGACAATACATCCATTAATTTTGAAGAGGAATCTCTCATTTTCCTTCCCTCCATCTTTGTTGTCTTTGGTTAGTAAATGTTAAACAATAAAGTGCACCCACCTCATTCTCCAAAACGGCTTTGAAATGTGAAGATTTACTAAACATGGACTTATTGGCTCCTGAAATCGTCAATAATTTCACTATACCACCCACGCAACATAAATCATTACTGACACTGGCTAACAAGGGTTTAAGAGTTGGAACATGTCCTGTAATAAATTTCTAGACAGTTAAAAATCACTATAATTTTATTCTAATGCATTATAGATTGCCTGTAATGTCATCCTGGCTGGGGTGACCCATTTCTAATTTTGAACAGCTGTTCAGCTCAGGAGTTAGTTAATGATTAAATATAAATTGCCTGATTTATTAGTCTGAATGGCTGAGCTCCCAGGTCAATGCTATATAGACAAAATCATCAGTCTTGATGCTTTTCAGAAGTTAACTGTCTCCTGTTCTAGTCAGAAAGAATTTATCCTCAAAGGAAAAGGTCTGACATCTTCAATTAATCCTTTAAATAAATATATATATATATACACACACATACACACACATCTCACATATATAGATACACACACACGTGTGTGTGTGTGTTTCTTTATTTATTGCTAGTTAACACCAGTCAACCTCTTTTCCTCCCCTAGGCTCAATCTTCACGAGTACGGCCTTTGGAAGACACTGCTCTGTGTTAGAGACGCAGGGCAGAGCCTGCTTTTGCTTTCATAATCCTTTCAGACCTTCTGTGACTACTCCCTGAAAACAGTTTTATCAAATGGTGCTTTCTCTTTTCCTCAGATACTTCACAAGTGGTGAACACTTCAAATTGCTTAAATCTTAACACTTTCAAAGGGAGAAGTTGTAAACTCCAACAGAAGTGGTGGGATTTTTCAACTGACCTAAGAAAATGAGTCTTCAAAAGTCTTTCTTTCTTTTTTAACATAGGAGGCGCCCAAAGCTCACCCAATCATTCCTTCCACAAATATCTATTGCTGTCTATGGAGTGCCTGGGGCTATTCTAAATGCTTGGGATCGAGTCGTGCAGAAAACAGATGAAGCTCCCGTTCTTGAGAAGCTCATACACGTCCAGGTATAAGTGTGTATGTCATGCGCTGATGAACGCGATGAGAAAACGATGAAGCAGAGTAAGATCTATGGAGCGGCGTGTGTGCAGGGGGCAGGGGACACGCTCTGTTAGGAAGAAAGAGCAGAGAAAACATGTGATAAGGAGAACTTTTAGTACAGACGCGAAGGAAGTCAGGGAGCCAGGGGGTCATCACTGGGGGGAAGGTAAGCCGCGTGGAGGGAAAAGGCAAAGGTAGAAACTGCAGGCCGGTGAAGGTGGAGTCAGAGGGAAGGTGGCAGGTGTAAGAGGGAGGGATCCAGGAGCCAGGCACGGGGAGAGCCTTGGAGCTGCACTTTGAGTTAGACAGCCACTGGAGACTTCTGAGACGGCAGTGACACGGATGAACATAATTGTTTAAAACACCACAGGGCAGCAGTGAAGGGAGTGGCCTCCAGGGGGATGGTGGAGGCGAGGGCGGTGCTCCAGGGCAGAGGTGCTGGAGGCCTGACTGGCATGGACAGGCCAAGGTAGTCGGGATGCTGGGGTTCTGAATGGACTTTGAAGGTAGAGCCAACACAATAAACACGCTGTGGGTTGGGTTGGGTGTGGGTCATGAGAAAAGGCAAGAAGTCAAGGGTGCTGTCGAAGCGTTTGGCCCTAACAACTGGAGAACTGACTGTCGAGTATTGAGATGGAATGGAGAGAGTGGATTTTGTAGAATGAACTATGAGGGATGATGGGTTTAAATTTGTCCTTTTATTATAAATAAAATTTTTTAAAAGTCGAGTATATTTAGAAGAAGTTAGGCTATTCCACAGCTCGACTACCCCTAACACATTTCTCCTTTCTTTTTGCTAAGAGAACCCTGATTTTGAGTAGGGTGGTAAGGAGTCCAGCCCCATGAGATGATGACCTGTCTTCCTCTTCTCCAGTCTTCTTTGGAGCTACATGTATGTGGTCAATCGAGCCCTGGCTAGAGCACTTAAGTGCAGTCCTCCAAACACGTTCCTAGGAACACTTCCATTTTTCTTATAAAAGGATGAAAATCCTGCCCTGGTCAGGTGGCTCAGTGGGTTGGAACATTGTCATCCTGTACACCAAAAGGTTTTAGGTTCAATTCCCAGTCAGGGCGCGTACAGGAGGTAACTAATCAATGTTTCTCGCACTGATGTTTTTCTACCTCTCTCTCCCTTCCTCTTTCTGTAAAATCAATAAAAACTTATCCTCGGGTGAGGATTTTAAAAAAGGACAAAAATCCACCTGATACAGATTACTCTCTCTCCTGCCTGAATCTGAAGGTGTAACAGCCATCTGTGACTATGATGCAAAAGGCATGGGGATAAAACCACCTGCTAAGTTCGGAGAAGCCGAAGGGAACAGAGAGAGGAGGTATCTGATCACTAATTACCTGAATCAACACTGATAATGCTCTATCCCTGGAATTTCTTGTAGTATGTAAAAAATAAATAAATAAACTCCCTTTTGTTTAAGCCACTGTAAACCAACTTTTCTATCACCTTCAGCTAACTGCATTTCTAATAGCGCGGTTACGAAGTTTTAGGGAGCACTTAAATAAAAATTATAGTTGTATTAAGATTTAACTCGGATATTATGAAACTGGCCATTTAAAGGACACAGTTGAGTGAGTTTTTAGTGTATTCACGGACTTGTACAATCATCCTATTAATTTGAGAATATTTTGCTCACACAGAAGAGAAATTCTATACCTAATTAGCGGGCACGCCCATACTCTGGCCACTGCTCATCTGCTTTGTCTCTACAGGTGTGTCTGTTCTGGACATTTTATACACATGGAATCATACCCTATGCGGCCTCTGTGTCTATCTTCGATCACTTAGCATGACCCTTTCAAGGTTCACTCATGCTGCAGCATGAATCGGTACTTCAATCCCTTCTATGGTAAAAAAAAAAATCCCCTTGTATAAATATATTACATATGGGAGAACAAATAAAATGTGTGACTTACTGAAGTTAAGGGCTATATGTTTCTTCTACCACTCAAACAAGAGGAAGTTCATATGAATTATTTAAAAAATTTTATTTAAGGTAGTAACTACTAACATTAGCACGTCAGTCACCTCTAAGAAGATGTCACAGAAATAAAAAAATCAAGCAGGCTTGGCTTGAAGTAATGTTCAATGGTAGAATTCAATTGTACACGTATGTTAAGAGGCTCAGACAATGATTCAATACCACAGTGGCCTAGCAGCAGGCCTGAGTTTATAACACACCAGGAAAACCACGGGGTTCGTGGCTAGCCACTAAAACGTACACAGGACCTCCACGCCTTACTTTGGGTAAGTTAGAATTCCAATATGAATGATGATGAAATATTCTCCTTTATTGTTGATTCCACATCTATTTAGTTATTATTGATAGCAAATAGTGACAAAATCGGAAAGAGCTGATATGCGTATTTTAGGCAGAGTTTGGGAAGAAAGATGAACTTGCCTCGAGTTCCTTGACGAGTTTGTTCGCCAGTTCAGTGGTTCTGTTCGTCTGGTTCACCTCTTCTTGACACCGAACTTTCTCCGCTGTTGCTTTTTCAAATGAAGCTGTGAGTCGGCTCAGATTTTGATCCAGATCCTGAGTAAGAGTCAAAAGGAACTTTTGAGCCATTTGTAGATAAAATACAAATCTTATAATCAATTTAAACCATCTATTACCTTGCAGTAAGTGAAACAAACCTCTGTCCCTCCTTGACCTTTGCCCCCTTAGCGTACGTGTTAGGGAAGGGGTGCCATTAGAGACTGCCAGCTCGCCAGGTGGCTTCTCACCTTCCTTCCGCACCTGGCAGAGGGCAGTCAGTGACCAGGTGAGTGGATGCGCCCCCGAGTCAAACAACCCTGGGTACACTATCCCCTCTCCCTTGTGCCTCCGCCTTATCCTCCAGCATCAGCTTTTTAAATGTTTTTCTTTGTATTGAATTTTAGAGAGAGAGGAAGGGAGAAGGAGAGAGAGACAGAAATATCGATGAGAGAGAACATGGATTGGCCGCATGCCCCCAACTGGAGATCGGGCCCACAACCTGGGCGTGTGCCCTGACCAGGAAGTGAACTGGTGACCTCTTGGTGCATGGGTTGACGCTCAACCACTGAGCCAGCCATACCTGCTGGGCAGAACCAGCTTTAAAAAAAAAATTTTTTTTATTGATTTTTTTTTTTAGAGAGAGAGCAACATTTCACTGGCTGCCTCCTGCACGCCCCACACTGGGGATTGAGCCCCAAACCCAGGCACATGCCCTGACCGGGAATTGAACTAGGACCTCTCAGTCCATGGGACGACGCTCAGTTCACTGAGCCACACCAGCTGGGCAGCAGCATTTTAAATGTTAAAGGCCTTTGGTTCTCCACCTACTGACTCTACTCATCTCCCATTTGGTCCATAACTCAGGCAATGATCGCGTCCCTTGAGACCTCAGCACCCTAACCCAGCTTGGCCAGTGAGATGTTCTCTTCTGGAAACCTGGGATTGAAACCCAGAGGTACAGCATTGTCTTTAGCATCAGAAGACCCAGAAACATGTGTCAATGTTGGAGGGCTTCATTTAGACGGGCCATCTTCCACCAGGGGCCAGGGAAGCAGAAGGAATACTCCAGAGAATGAAAAAGGATGAGGGGAAGAACGATGAAAAGTCGCACGGCCCTTGGGAGACCCCATAAGATGTTCACAGCAGCTTCCTGCTTCCTGGAGCCCACACTTTCCCATGGAGTTCCATGAGTCATCCTTCTCCTTGGCTTAAGGGTTTCCAAGGGGGTTTCTGTTACTTGTAGCCAAAAAAGCCTTGACTAAGATATCAAATACTTGGGAGACACCTTATATAGCATCTTGCTACCTGCAAATTTCAACAACCCCCAAATAAGATTTACAATATTGCTTTTGTAAATATGTTCCAGGTTCCGAGAGACTATAGTAAGCTCACCTGTAGGACGTGCCCTATTCATAATTTAGAAACTGCCTATATTTGTCAATGACCAACTTATTATATAATTATTTAATTTGTATTGTTAAAGCAGTACCTCCTAAACATATTTTAGGTTACTAAAAGTACTAGTGGTTTTATAAAACACAGAAGCACACGTGAGCTCTGGCATCAGACACCTGAGTTCATATTTGGACTCTGCTACCAGCTAAGCAGCAGCGCCAGGTAAGCTGTTTGCTTAACCTCTCTACACCTCAGTTTCACCATCTGGAAAATGGAAATAATATTGTTACTCAACCCACAGGTTGACCGAGGTATACATAGAACTAAGGTATGAAATGACACAGCAGTTCCCTTCATAAAGCTGGGAAGGGGAACGGGGTATTGGGAGGCCAGTCCTGGGTTTCCACGCCTCTTGTGAACAGGCGTGGACAGCTTTTCTGCTGGACTTTCCCAGGATATTTGCATAGCAAATTGCCTTGGAAGACAGAGATAGTGTTTCTCTTGCAGCAGAAGACAGATTTGGTTTTGACCAGAATAATAAAGATATGTTTCCCTCTGGGGCAAAGGTTTTGCAGGTTTACTTACAGCCCTCCTTATATTGGGGTTTTTCTAAATTTGGGATTTCTCAGCTGTGACACAAAACCACTGTGTACAACGTCATGGTCCACTGTGCGTCACTCCCATGGGAACTGGGAGACGGAGGAATGACGCACCCGTGGAGCTCACGCCGCACGCCGTGCTGTGAGGCATCAAGTCCTTTGGTCTCTGACCCACAAGACTCAGGTCTTCAGCCAGCTTCTATGTGCCCGTGGCAGACTAACTTGTTAGCTTGCATGTATGATAAAATCTTGGTCTCTTCATAGTTCTTGACAGGCCCTGGCCTCTAGGATTATAGAAGGAAATGTAGTGAAGGAAGGACTCAGTCCAAGGGTCCCAGCCCACCAGATACCCTAACCCAGTGGTTCTCAAACTTGAATATGTATCACGACCACCTGGAGGACTTGCTAAAACCCAGATCTCCCCCTCCAGAGGCCTGGGGTGGGTCTGGGCGTATGCATGTCTAATACATCGCCCTGCGACACTGATGCCGGTCTAGGAAACAGACTTGGAGAACTACTGCCCTAGAGAGACCGACTTTCGACTTTCTTTAGGGCGATCCTTGGACCCCGCATGCTTGTAAGATACAATGGACTTTCTTTTACTCCAACTTAGCAGTTTTTGTTTTCACTCAACCTTTAAGATGAAGCCATCTTCTAGCCCAAGACTTGAACGAACAAATACAGAGAGACTAGCACCGGTGTAAATGAATTTCCATCACAGCACACGTGCTAGTATCAGACACATCTCTGCTTTTCTAGTCAAGAAGGCGGCAGGAGGCATGTCCCTTCTGGAGAAGGGAGGGGAAATGAGAGGCTGGAGGAAACCGAGGCAAAGCTGGCAAAAATCAGAACTTGGGCGCAAACCTTGATCTGACTGTGTGTCAACAGGCAGAACTAACAGAGGTACTCTGTCTCTGCAGAACCTGCCATGGTGTCTTCACGGAGAATTGAACCTGGGTGAGAACTGAGACTCTCGCATGAATAACTGCTCTCTGGAAATCATTCTTGGTAAGGGGACTGAGGGAACCCGTTCTTCGTAAAGCCATTTCATTCATTACTCTGTCATCTTTTCTCTGTGTTTGCAAACTTAGTTCTAAGGCTTACTGATATGAGCCTCTGCTTATACCGTGGGTCTCTGAAAACAGGGGATGTGGACGATTCTTTGCAGCTAGTGGCAGGCTCTGTGCAAAGGTCTACTGAATCTGCAGCCACACACGTCTTCACCGCAGGGTCACACACGCTGTGTTGAGTATCCTTATTCACTTTTTCTGTGAACATTAGGTTGCTTCTAACAGTTACATAAAGCCATCAACAATAATAGATGGAGACATTTGCCTAAATTTTTGGTCAAGCTGGCAGTAGAGTTTTGCAAATGAATGAAGAGAACTTGTATAAAATTACTGTTTATCCTAAATTAGTTTAAATTAGCTGCTGTTGTTGACTTGTTTTTCTTTCAACACTCATCAGGTCTTTGTCGAACAGTATGCTGGGTGCTGTGGTAGGAACAGGTACTGACTGGACAAAAAGGGGGGGATGGTAAGCCACCTGGGCAGAGAGCAGTGGTCAGGGGATTCAACCAGAGGAACTGGTCTTGAAAGATAAGGGGGTTGAGTTGTGAGAGGTGTAGGATTTCATGTCCTAAGGAGAAAGAGTTTGTGGTGTTATTAACTATCTTATTTAAATAACTATAATAAAAAGGTACCTTATAATTATTAAGCACTAAAATGAGAGCACAATTTAATCCCTTCCTGGTATATCCGAGGAGTTGATGATGCTTTGGGATCTGCTCTGGGGAGATGATCTCACTCTTTTTTTTTTTTTTTGAGAAACTGCCCTGAAATCTAGGGGGCACTGTCTATTCGAAAACATTTTGCTCTTTTTTTCCCCAAATTAACAAGTAGTGGCCCAAGACATAAGCAGGCCTGACTCCAGCCTTGTTCTAGAAGAAGCTGGGCTTGGGTGCCTGGGCACTCTGAGCACCAAAGTCTAGACTGTGGTGATCACTGGGTCACCTGCTCAGGGACCCCTGGCAGGATTTACTGTAAGTGGGAAAATCCTCCCTGAGGTCCCCCCTCCCATTCATGAAGTGGAGGCTGTGGACTGGGCGACAAACAGCATTTCGATACACCAGGATTCCTCGGTGGGAAGTAACAGATTTAAGCTAATTTTAGCTAAAGGGAATTTACTGGCAAGAAATGGGGGCCGGCTGCTAGAAGCCGAGGAAAGGCAGGGAATCACAAACAGCTGCGTGGTCGGAGCAGGACGTACTTGAAAGTCTCACCTGGACACTGTCCCTAGAATGCAGGAACTCTGTTTTCAGCCTTTTTATGCTTTTGCTCATGATTTCATTTTAGAGATGGAGGGATCAAATTGGCAAAGCTGGGATAACATAGGTAGTCTTCAGCTAGAAAAGCAAAGGACACTCCCACTAATAGCCCCACCTGAGTGTATCCCATGAGGAAAGATGATTCCCCAGAGCGAAATCTGGATTCTGGGAGGCCAAAAATCATAAGTGCCCCCCTTGAGAGGTAGCTGTTATTATCGTTACTTCACAGATAAGAACCTGAAGCTCTGAGCGTTTCCCTCAGTTGCCAGGTTACACAGCCTCCTCACTCTGATCACTGTCTTATCAGGCATCTCAAACTCATCATCTCTGTTCTGTATTCCTCACCACAGCCCATCCTCCAGCCTTGCATCCTTCTGGCTCTCTCCATCCTGGCTGCCTCTGCTTACTGGGGGCCCTCAGTGCCTCTGAACTTGTCTTTCTTCCTCTCGATTGTCCTCTCCCCAGCTTCCACTCAGTTGCTGAAAAGCTTGTTTGATCGTGTCATTAACTACAAGGGTACAAGTCTACCAACTGCTTCTTCCCTCTTTTCTTTATTCTTGACCAAGAGTAGCTCTCCCAACCTAATTATCCTGGTGAGTTTCTTTCTTTCTTTTTTTTTTTAATCCTCATCCGAGGACATTTTTCCATTTTTTGTACAGACAGAGTGGGAGAGAGAGAGAGGAAGAGAGAGAGAGGGAAACATCGATGTGAAAGGGACACATCGAGTGGCTGCCACCCACACGACCAACCAGGGCCGGGGACAAACTGCAACCGAGGTACGTGCCCTTAGCAGGAACCGAACCCGGGCCTCTCCGGACCGTAGGCTGATGCTCTAACCGCTGAGCCAAACCGGCCAGGGCTATCCTGGTGACTTTCAAAGCCCATATCAAGTACACCTTTATTATGAAACTCACTCTAATTTCTCCAGGCTCAGTACTAGTTTGGTGCGGCTGTTGCATTCTATGTATACAGTCACGTATATTCTTCTAAAACTGGACGGGTCACGTATTTGCAAAAACAGCAATGTTAATAATAGATGTAGCTAATATTCTCTAAGTACTTGCTGTGTACCAGGTATCATGCTAAATTTTTTTTGTGTGTGCAATATATGTTTTTATTGATTTTTTAGAGAGAGGAAGGGTGAGAGAGATAGAAGCATCAATGTGAGAGAGCAACATCAAACAACTGCCTCTTGCACGCCCCCTACTGGGCACTGAGCCTGAAACCCGGGCATGTGCCCTGACCAGGAATTGAACCAGGACCTCTCTGTCCATGGGAGGACACTCAATCCACTGGGCCACACCGGCTGGGTTTATGCTAAATTCTTTTTTTTTTTTTTTTATCCTCACTCGAGGACATTTTTCCATTTTTTGTTCAAATAGAGTGGGAGGGAGAGAGAGAAGAGAGAGAGAGAAAAAAACATCGACATGAAAGGGACACATCTAGTGGCTGCTACCCACACGACCAACCAGGGCCGGGGACAAACTGCAACTGAGGTACATGCCCTTAGCGGGAACCAAACTTGGGTCTGTCTGGACTACAGGCTGATGTTCTAACCGCTGAGCCAAACCAGCCAGGGCTATGTTAAGTTCTTAATATGAATTACTTTTATTTAATCCTCACAATCCTACCCCAGAAGTGGATGCTATAGTATGTACTGCACAGATGAGAAAACCGAGCCTCAAGAGAGGTTAACTAACTTGCGGGGTGAGACAGTAAATACTGGAACCGGGACATGCACCCAGGCTTCTGGCTCCGGAATCCTTGCCTGCAGTCACTGTGTGCTGCCCTCATCCTGCTACCACCAGACCACGGGAGTCTCCTGCGTGCAGAAACCACGAACGTTTCTGCTTTTCCAGCTCAGTGTCCAGCCTACAGCAGACGAGAGTGTCTACTGAAGTAGTATGTGAATGAGGACTTCCGTGAACGATCAGACTCCTTTGTCTGGCAGGGAGTTGCATGCGGCCCTGTTGAAGGTGGGATCCTGAGGGGGAGGTACCACCTCGTGGGAACGTCTTCGGAGTTATCGTTTGCACTTACCACAAGCTTTTTCCGGATAGCTTCTAGTTTTTCAGTAGCTGCAGCCAATTCTAAGTTTGCTTGGGCTAACGCTTGGCGTTTGGGTTCCACGTCGCAGTAGACCTGAAAATCCACGCAGGCTTTAATCCATGAGACGATAAACAAGCAAAGAGGACGAGTAATCATGCAACCCTACACCTGCCGGAAGCATTACAATGAAAATCTCCAATTCACCTAGCAATTGGTTGGTTGTTCCTTAGCAATGGTACTACCTCATGGTAGAGCAAAAATCCACATAACCTTCCAAGTTCTCTCTCCTTGCCCACTATCTACTCACTTATTCTGGACATGAGAGTCACAGGTACTTGCATTAAATGCTATAAACATCAAACACCATTAATTTACTACAATCTGCTTGTCCTAAAATTTGGAGAGAATCCTCATGTCACTAGAAATTGCGGTGTGCGGGAAGGGTAGTTGAGGTCGGGATCAAGTCTTGACTTGAAAGCAGAAAGTAAGTGTGGAGGAGCTCTCTGGACCCAGAAAGTGGGAGACAGCCTCACACAGTGTTAACCACACCTTCATTCTCTTTCCTAAGTTCCTGGCATCCTTAAGCGTGTGTTTTTTGAATGGGTCGCTTGAGAATTTAGGTGGATCGATTTTTCTCTCTTGTTGGGGAGAGAGAAAGGAAATTAACTTGTATTTCCCACTCTATAGCAGACACAGTCTCACTGCGTGCTCGCCTCTCCCCGGCGGAGCGAGAGCCGAGGGTCAGGCATCTCATCGGGGAGAGAGGCCACACATCCATGGCAATCTGTCTGAACCCCTTCTCTGGACAGACTTCCGTTAGAGAGAGAGCCCACAGGGCCCTATTCTAGCGCGTCCTCAGTGTACAGGGCCTAACCTGGTTTTATAAAATCATTCTGGGAATGCCACTGACTCTACTTGACATTTCCTCAGTAATTCCATTTTTGAATATAACATACAATCTTCCAAGACAAAAATGGGACAGTTTTTCATGTAAATGCCGCTCGTGCATGGGCCCTTTTTATACCCAGTACTCTGCAAAGTGCTAAGAACATCGTTGGCAGACAATCAGTATTTGATTAATAAATGACTAAATGAAATGTCATTCTATCTCCATACTGCCCAAAGTACAAACTTTAGAGTAGCCCATATACAGGCAAAAATCTACTTGTCATTAAAATATTAAAACAAAACAAAAAAATGGCTCTTTTCTCTTCTCCCTAAGTCTACAAAAGAGGGTGTGAATTTTTGCTTTGAAAGCAGGGATTAAGTTTACCTAAACATGAATTCAGAAATGCAGTCGTTCCAAATGAAAATGAAATTAGTATTTTAACACAAATAAACATAATATATGCGACAAGTTTGCATTGAATCAAATCAAATTAATTGCTGCAATTTGATCTAAAATGGCTAATCATTCTATCCTGACAAAAGATAGTTCCCAACTTTTCAAGTATCCTCCTGTATAGAAAATTCTGTTTAATCAGACACTTTCATGTCTCATTCTTAGAACTTTATCTTATTCAGATAATTACCAAATTACTTGACATTTTTTGCTGGCCTAGAAATTAAGATATTGATGGACCTTTGGGAATTCCACCTCTAAACCATATCTGATAGGACTAATACCTCATAGAATTTAATGATGTTGATGACCCAGGCACAGAGACCAGCGGCTGCAAAAGATTTGGTCCGAATCAGGCTTGGATTGAACTCTGGGTCTTTCAAATACTGTTCATTCACCACTTTTAGACAGTTCTCTGGAATGTGCTCTTTGTCGTAGTTAATTAATGCTTGCAAAAAATCATCAACCTGTAAAGCAGAAAGACTTACTGCAATGAACCCACTTTGGCTGCAGAGAAAATTCCAAGATCAAAAGTTGAAATCAGCTTTTAGGACTCACGTTACAAAAGCAAAATTGGCAAGCTGCATTTATCCCACTGTTTGACTTTTTCAGTCTTTAGTGTATGAAGTTAGAATTAGCAATGGACACTTTTAAAATCTCTTCTATCCCAGGGTAAAATATTCAGTCCCTGCACAGGAGGCACTCACAGTTTGAAGGAAAAAAAAGGCAGAAAAGAAAAAGAAAATCACATACCCCAAAGCCCCTTCACTTCACCTCCTTATACATTAGTAACATTTTTCTAGCATAAGAAATCCATGTAATTTTCTTCCTCCTACACTTTAACTGCTTTAATAATTTTGCACATAATTAGCAGCCTTCTAATGGCTGCTGGTGTTGATTTAGGTATGCTATAACCCCAAGCTAACCTCCAACTTGGCAAATACAAGTTCTACATCTGGAGACCACACAGCGGATTACCCTTAGCGATTAGGAAGATGATTCCTTTTGATGGGAACATCTTTTGTGGTCAAGTATAACCGCAGCACTGAAAACCGAAGTTGTTGGGATTTTCATCCTGCCAGACTGTCTGATACCTTTCCCATGAAGACTTTAGCTGCTTTCCAACTTCGGTCTTTCGGCACTCGGCCCCGGGGAGCCAGCAGGACCATCACAGCCGCGGTGACGTTGGTAACCGCATTGGGAGGGTTGGGGAAGACTTTCAGCTCAGTGAGATTGACCTGAAGAAAAGCACAGACACCTTCAAGACCAGGGGGAGGCGGAGAGGAGCTGTCAGTTGTCAAGATGGTCTTCAGTGGCCTCCCACCTCTCTTTTCCACATCAGTGTCGGCTGGGCAGTTCTTTGTCTCCAGGAATTCCACTTTGGGACCCCAAGAAGTTCAGTTCTCCCTGGGCACTTTTCCAGTGTTCTGAAAACATCATTACCCTTTTTGGCAGCTAGGGAAAATGGTTCATCTGGTATACCAGTCCTGCAGAACCCTGCTCACTAAGTCAGGAAATTTTATAAACATATAGGTTTTAAAGGATTTGTGGGTTCTATCCCATCTATGTAGCAGATTTTCATTTTAACCAGGTCCTCTCAGAAACGTAATCCCTTAGTTCAGTGTTTCTTTGTTGTGTTTTTCTGCTTTACATGTACAAAAACATCTTCCATTACACTATGACGACTCTGAATTGGGAGGAGGCCCGTATAGGTTGTACCTTCTTTCGACACTACTCAATCTTTTCATGTCGGAATCTTGATTTACACAACAGATGGTACTAATGGTATAAGTTATAAGTATCAGGGCAAATAGTTAGAGACACTGGTACCTGTAAGAAACACGTGTAGGTTCACGATACATGATTTTAGAAAAACAAGTACTTCCTATAATATTTCATGAGCTACATAATCTACTCATCAAATGTTGAACCCGAGTCTGCTCCATTACCATAAACTGCCTATTTATTTGGGAAATGACTGCAAAGAACAGAACAGATGGAAAAATGAGAGCAAAAGCAAAGACTTAAAGTATGCTGCTGATAACAGAGCTGGCTAACTGAGATCCTGCTGCATTTATAAATAGCATCATCATTTACAAATATACTCAGCTTTATATTTAAGTGACATTTATTTTGCCTGGATAAATAATAATATATTCTGAGAAAAATCTGCCAATGTAGAGAAGCACTAAGAAGAAAATAAACATTCCATTGTTCAGAAATAAAGAGGAAAAGACAAAAGTCCATTGTTCAGAGATAATCAGTTACTATTTTCTTCATTGTTTTTCCCATCATTTTCCTACTGTGTGCATGTTCTTCCATTACGAAAGTCATATAATATCTCCTATTTTATAACCTGCTTTATTCATGTAATATATCGTGATTATTTTCTCAGGCAGTTAACTACCATTCAACAACGTCACTTTAATGGCAGCAGTGCACCTGAAGCCATCATCCTCAATCTCTGATCATGGTAAACTTATACCCTTTGATATTTTTCAGTTTTATTGTATTTTCAGCAATACCATAAGCAACACCCTTGTAGATAACTCTTTGCTCACCATCAAAATTATTATTTCCAAAACAATACTTAGGAAAAGGAACTGAACGTTTCTCTGAAGAGCAATGAAGTCTGGATCCTTCACTCTTTGAAGGTGAATCTGCAGCACACCAGGCCCAGTGAGTCCCTGGGATTCTCCCCTGGGCCCAGGGGAGCCGGGGGACAGGCCTCGCTGCTTCCAACACCATCGCCCACAGTTCCAGTTTTCCCTGAACGCCCCTTCTGAACTATCACAGATTATTTTCTCATATGGAAACTGAAATACTCAATGAGGTTTTCCTAATAAAAGAAGTGAGGAAAATGGTGTGGGCCAAACCTAGGTACCTTTGTTCCCATCCACCAACCTTCTCATGAGCATCCTCATTATTGCTACTTTTTATATTCCAGAGGAAATGCAGAGTCCCCCACTTAGTTCTTAAAGCAACATGTAATAGAAACAACTGGATTTGGCTCAGATCCAGTCGCAATTGCCTTTCACGAGAGTAAGCCCCATGGTGCTGGAGATATTCAGTGGGGGCGACTTGTCTGGGTGATGTAGACAGACTCCAGGAAGGTAAACTATCACCACGACCTCAAAGGTTTGTTTCAACTTCATTATCTTTTTTAAAAAAAAAAAACCTTTTCGGTTGCAATGACTACTCTCAGTTCAGTTGTTCAAGCTCTAAAAGTTTTAAACCTTCTTTTGAGGAACCCCCAAATAACCATCTTTACCCTGTTGAGTGTGTTGAGCGCAGCCGTCGCCGCCACCAGCGCGGGCTCCGCCTTGAGCAAGTCGGCCTCACACTCTTTCTGTTTCTGGGACACTTCGGTCTGAATGGCTGTCACCTAACGAGGGAAGAAAAGCACACAACCACAAACACAAATGATCATCTTGGAGATCTCTATTGAAAAGTGCAGGCTGAGTCAGAAGCACTGTTCAATAATTCATCTGTCTATATCTTGAACAGGTGGGGTTTTGTCTGAAGACGGATTCCCTTTAGGAACCCTGCACAGACAAAGCTTGGGACATGCACCAAATACACAATGACAGATGTCAACACCAATGCATTCAGTATCAAAATGCTCCAGGACAGGCTCTGACTAATTGAACTATAAGGTGCCACTAATCAGAAAGGCAAGATCGGCGTGTCCTCTGTTCTTCGGTTTCTATTTTCAGAGAGTCCTGGACAAGTGAAAATCCCAACTGGCTCAGGAACCTGGACTACAAAATATTCTTGCTAGAATTCCCCACCTCATTTTTTAAATTTATTTTTTATTTTTTTTTATCATCACCCGAGGATATTCCTTCATTTTTTGTTCAGATAGAGCAGGAGGAAGAGAGAGAGAGAGAAACATCAACGTGAAAGGGACACATCGAGTGGCTGCCACCCGCACGACCCAATCAGGGCCGGGGACAAACTGCAACCGAGGTACACGCCCTTAGCAGGAACCGAACCTGGGTCTCTCTGGACTGCAGGCCGATGCTCTAATTGCTGAGCCAAACTGGCCAGGGCTCCCCACCTCATTTTTGCTAACATTCGCTGAAAAGCCACGTGGGCCCTTCTTTAGGAATAGATAAAGGCTTTCTCGTTCAGCTGGCTAGACGGTACTGTTCGGGGCTAAAATTCTAGGTAGAATTTTATAAAGATGAATTACTGGTTTCTCCAAGGATCTGGTAAGGAACTATTGCTGCAATAGTCCAGTTCTGTCTTTGGCAATAGAACAATGACATCGATGTCCACTCTGCTGTTGAGGGGCTAGTGGCAGTCTAAACACGCCAAAGAGGGTGCTGTATCAGCCTCATGACCTGAACACATGTAACATGGATTTGGGAAACCATGTGGGTACACTTGAACCCCATCAAAGAGAAAAGCTTTAGTTTTTATCCTCCTCCTCTTTGGACACCTATAGAATCTGAACGGCCAGCGAGAATACATTTTTAGTCCTCAGCAGAATGTGAGTTGCAGAGCTGCGGCACTGGGCAGCAGGATCTGGTCCCAGCAGGAGATGGATCCCGAGGTGATGGTGACTTGTGGAACATAAAGTACGAGGGAAGTGCATCTCTTCCGATGTGTTTGGAATGAACGGGTTTAACTATACCATGAAATTAAACACTGCTCCCAACAAATTATGTTGTCTACGACAGCTTTATTAGCAGTAATTGCCCGTCTCCTGATTAACCATTATTTTGCTGTATTACAGCACCTTTTAGCACAATTGGTTCAGGGTAGAGGTGGGATCTCCTGCCGATACACACACAGCTACCGTTGATGGAAAGAAGAAACCTCGGCATGCTTACTGAGAACTGCTCCACCACGCCCTTCGGAACCGCCAGGAATGGACCACGGCCACTCTGAGGACATGCATTTTCGACGTGCTCGAGAATACACCGTTACAGATGAGAGAGACGAGTGATTACCTCGGGCATTTATTTTTCATACGGGTATAACGAATCTATAAATGCTCTTTGTTCCCATTGATAACAGCGTCAGTTTAAACCGAAGTGAGGATTGTAGATGTTTAGTACTAGAAGAAACTTGAAAGAGTTTTTCTTGAAATGCCCTTTCTATGAGACTGGGAGTTGCTACTCTTCTCCTTTTGACTCCTTCACCGTTACTGGAGTATCACTCCTTTGGGGAATGTTTATAAACAGAGAAATCTTGAAAATGATAATGAATAAAAACCCACACATGCAAATAAAAATACTCTAGGCTAACTCATGTCTCGTTCCCAGCGCCTCTCCCCTAAGGTGCACGACACCAGGGCAGTGACAATGCTGTGTGTCTCGGAGGCTTGGGGAGCCTGTGCAATTTCCTTTGCCCCGTGGCTCCGGGCAGGTCACAAGGCTCACCCTGGGCAGGGGAGAAGCTTCACAGACTCCTTAGAGGGGGCGCTCTCCTCTCCCGCTGTCCGTTACAGCAGTGATTTGGAGACGGTCTCATTCTTGGGTACACCAGAACTTTTACTAGTCAAAAAAATGCTCCATGTAGATGGTTTATGAACTTTAGTAGTGGCCACAGGGAGAGAAGGAAATCGCAATACTTGCTTATTATGGGCAGAACTATGTTCACCCCAAATTTAGTGAAAGCCCGAACTCCACTACCTCAGAAGGGGACTGTATTTGGAGATGGGGCCTTGAAAGAGATGACTGAGTTAATTTTTGTTTAATCCTCCCCAAAGGATCTTTTTCTATTTATCTTCAGATAGAGTGGGAGGGAGAGAAAGGAAGAGAGAGAAACATCGATGTGAGAGGGACACATCGATTGGTTGCCTCCTGCACGACTCTGACCAGGGCCGGGGACGAACCACAACTGAGGTACATGCCCTTGACCAGAATCAAACCTGAGACGGGTCCACAGGCCGACACTCTACTGCTGGGCCAGACTGGCCAGGGCGAGATGGTTAAGTTAAAATGAGCCCTTTAGCATGGGCCCTCATCCAATCTCGCTGGTGTCCTTATAATAAAGGAAATCTGGCCCTGACCAATTTGGCTCAGCGGTTAGAGCATCGGCCTGCGGTCCAGAGAGACCTGGGTTTGGTTCCCACTAAGGGCATGTACCTCGGTTGCAGTTTGTCCCCGGCCCTGGTTGGTTGTGCGGGTGGCAGCCACTCGATGTGTCCCTTTCGCGTCGATGTTTCTCTCTCTCTCTCTCTCTCTCTCTCTCTTCCTCTCTCTCCCTCCCACTCTATCTGAACAAAAAATGGAAAAATGTCCTCAGGTGAGGATAAAAAAATAAATAAATAAAAAATAAAGGAAATCTGGACATATACAAGAGATACCAAGAGTGTGCACACACAACTGAAAGATCGTGGGAGGGCACAGCAAGAAGGTGGCCACCTACAAGCCAATGAAAGAGGCCTCTCCTTGAGGAGAGGTTCCCCAAGAGGAGAAACCAAGCCTGTCAACACCTTGATCTTTGAATTCCAACCTCCAGGACTGTGAGAAAATGAAGTTCTGTTGTTAAAGCCTCCAGGTCTGTGGTAATGTGTTATGAAAGCCCCAGCAAACTATTATATTGCTTTTACCTGCCTCCAGACTGTTAGCAATTCCTGACGGTCCTCCAAAATCCAGCTCCCCCATAGTTAGGGAAGAAACACATCTAAAATTGGAGGCCCATTCAAACTCCCAGAAAATGTCCAACTGCTGCAGAGACTGCATGAGGCCTGCACTTTGGACGGTACTTCTACCCATGAGGGCTGCACTCCACTCAACAAAGGAAGCAGCTTGGAAAGGATCAGAGGATCCTTAGAATTTGGACCTAAAAAGTCAAAGATGGAAGAACTCATTTTCACAGCTGTAATGGTGCTGGGGTTACATGAACAGCCCTTTATTATTTTACGAATGTGAAGCAACCACTTCCACCTGCTTATCTACATGGTTGTCATGATGCACAGCAAGGCAGTGTCTAAACCCCAATATTTGCTTCGTCATATCAAATGTAGCAAGGTACCTTTTATTTTTTTCTTTAATCCTCACCCGAGGACATTCCTCCCTATTTTGTTCAGGTAGAGTGGGAGGTAGAGAGAGGAAGAGAGAGAGAGAAACATCGATGTGAAAAGGACACATCGAGTGGCTGCCACCTGCATGACCAACCAGGGCCAGGGACAAACTGCAACCGAGGTACGTGCCCTTAGCAGGAACCGAACCCGGGTGTCTCTGGACCACAGGCCAATGCTCTAACTGCTGAGTCAAACCGGCCAGGGCTCAAGGTACCTTTTATGGCTTTTTAATTACCTCTCGCATATTAAGCCTTGAGACCCAATTTCATAGGATCACAGAGTCCATCTACACCTCTTTAATAACCACATAGAATCTAGCACATTGTTGAACACGTAACAAGTGTGAGCCTGCAGCCCATATTCGGTATTGATTAATTCCCTGCCTCTATGCGGTTTAATTACAAATACACTTTCGTTCCGTGACCACCCAATTTAAACCTACTTGATTTTCACCAGCGTCCTTATCACTATATCAGAATAATCTTGTCTATCAATGAGTCGCATGTCTCTGATCGGTCTCCTCCGTTACAGTGTAAACTACATGAGGGCACCTCGGCTGCCATATGTCCTCAGAGCCGTGCCAGGGAAAGAACAGGGGCCTTTGTTAGTATTTGTTATTTATAATTAGATTAAGCCTCATGAATAAAATAAAAATATTTGTGAGGATCATGTTATTTCTTGGCGTGGATTAGATATAAAAATACGTGTCTTTTTTGTGTTTGAAGAACTTCATAAAACAACCTGTCAGAGGAGTTTTAATTTTCTAAAACGTTTTCCTCCTTTGGGAGAATACTTTTGCCTTAGGAATTCACAGGCAACAATGTGAAAATACCTGCAGAGCACTTGTTCTATTTTAAGATCTCAAAAAGGTATCCGGAGGACAAATTACAATACAATCATCACTACAATATCACCTATTTGTGTAATGCCTGAAAAACACCCCCCGGGTGGGATAAGTTTATAATAATCATACTGTGTGTGAGACCTAATTGCTTAATATACAAATATACTCTCAAAAACGTCTTTCACTTATCTGTAACTCAATGGAAACATTTATTACCAGAATTAGGAATTAATAATTGGCCATGTCAAATGTGCCTTACCTTCCATTTCAAAACATTAATTTGTTTTTAAATATTTTTTTTTTCATTGATTTGAAAAAGAGAGAGGATGGGAGAGGGAGAGAGAGACAGAAACATTGATGAGAGAGAACATCAATTGTCTGCCTCCTGCACGGCCCCGAATGGGGATCAGGCCCATAACCTGGGCAGGTGCTCTGACCAGGAATTGAATCACTGACCTTTTGGTGCATGGTCGACACTCAACCACTGAGCCACACCGGCCGGGCAAAACATAATTAAAAAAAAAAAAGTCACAGGTTCAATTCCAGTCAAGGGCACGTGCCTTTGTTGCGGTTCGGTCCCCCACTCTGGTCGGGGTTGTGTGGGAAGCAATCAATAGATGTGTCTTTCTCACACAGATGTTTCTCTCTCTCTCTTCCTCCCTCCTTCCTTTCCACTCTATCTAAAGATAAATGGGAAAATACCCTTGGGTGAGGATTTAAAAGAACAAAACAAAAAAACATTTATGTAGAGTTTTGATTTCCAAAATACGTTTCAAGTCTTTAGCTGCGCAAGCTAAAGGCAAACATGCTCAATACACATTTAGAGAAAAAGAAAAACAACTCAGTTGTCTATGAATGAATGTTAACAGCACTGGGAAAACTCAAATATTTTCTGGGACCATAAAATGCAGGGATAACGGAATAGTGGCTACTGACTCAATGGCTCTGAGAGTGGTGACAATTTACAATTATTCATTAACTACACCCTAATTATAATCCTTTGTCTAAAACAAGAGCATTTACCTCATACATATACATTCATTCAAATTTTAAATATTTTAAATCTTACGTTGACTGTAATATTTCCCTTGAAAAGTAAGACATAGAAAAAAAATCCCTTCCATTCGAAGCTAAAGTTCTGGTAAAACTAGAAGGCGAAAGAAGTGGTATGTGTTCCAGAATTGCAGGAAACCTGGGTGCAAAGAAGGCAGATTCTATAGCATCGTAAAAGCAATTGTTTCCAACAATAAAACATAATCCAAAGTGCCAGAGCCTCCATCGAATCAAAAAGAACGAATTTAGCTGGGGATTTAATAATAAAGTCAAGTTGTATTATTAAAATGCAAAATTTGAAAAACATCTTGCAAAGTGACGGAATGGGCTTTGTTAACAATTGAGTTGTTCAATTTGCCTAAAAACTGAGAACCTTTAGAAACCTCAGAGGTGACTTCGTGACCTTTACTGTATTACAAATAGGCCTGATGTTCAAGATCCACATCCATTATATGCTTGAATGAGCTCAGTATTTATTGTTCTTTCATATCATTAAAAGAGCTAAAAGGTTGGGAAAATGCATAATGTAAAGAAAGGTCAAGTGGTAATCATGGTGTGAAATGCTGTTACATGTGTAACTATAATAATTCTTCAGATTTTATGCTCCTTGGAGAGGAAGTTGTTCAAAATTGTTCACCTACTAAGGTTTATTTTGTGCTAAATATAGCTCCGTGCTCCAAATGGTAGGATTAGCCTGACCTTTTGCTCCTCGGCATCTGCGGTGGCCTTTTCCCGGCTCACTTTCTCCGTCTGGAGCCCGATCTTGGTGATCAGAGTTTCGGCATCCTGATTTCTCAGTTGCAACTCGGCTTCTTGAGAGGCAAGTCTGGCTTTAAGATCTCCCACCTGAAAAAAAAAAAGTCATTACTTTGAAGTAACTTGCGTTGATAACAAACATTAGACATAGCTTAGATTTTACGACGAAATCGGGGATTCCCTAGCAGTTTGTATAGTGCATCTATTTCTCCTGAGTTGACTCTAGTCCCGTGTGTAAAAATGCAGTCCCATCTTTTGCCATGGAGGACCAAACAGAGTAATGCTTTTCAGTGATTTTCTGGAAAATATCATGAACTTATGTCAGCACCAACTGGAAGTTTATCTTCTCAACGCCTCGTGCGCAGTCAGAAAGGGCTGAGAGCAGTCTCCACGCGCGTCCATGTCCCCCTCGCCCCGTTTCCTGGTCCTGCGCAGCTCAGGCTCCAGCCAGCAGAGTCCAGGGAACATTTGCCTGGTGACAAACTGGAAGAACCCAGTTTTCCTTCTCCAAAAGACAGCGGGAGGCTTCAGACCTGTGCAGACATCAGTGCTCCTGGGCTGTTATCTGTTTACTTAATCAGTTACGTACTTTGATGGAAATGCCTGCAGACGCTCTTATCTCTTCCCACAAAATAAGAAAAGGCCTCCTCCTGTGCTGGCAGATTTGGCTCAGCTGTTGGAGCGGCAGCCTGTGGACCGATGAGTGGAGAGTTCGATTCTCTGTTGTGATTCGTCCCCAGCCCTGGTTGGGTCATGTGGGAGGCAGTCACTGGATGTGTCCCCTTCACATTGATGTTTTTTTTCTCTCTCTCTCTTCCTCTCACTCTGTCTGAACAAAGATGGAAAAATGTCCTTGGGTGAGGATAATTTTTTTAAAAAATGGCCTCTGGATTTTTCCTCACCCCATAGGACATTCACCTTAACACCTACTCAGGGCAACCCGCAAGGGTCCTGTGGAGATCAGAAGCCCAGGACTGTCCCAGATGTGAATTCACTGAGCTCTTGTGAAACTCAGACTCTGTGAGGCATCGTCTGTCTGCTCTAAAGGATGATTCTCCCACCTTTTCAGTTGGGATTTCGTGAGGTTGAGGAGGTACCACTGGGTCCCCGAGTTCGGGAATCATGTCAACGGAAGCAGAAGAGAAGTGCTGGGAGAAGGTGACCCGGCCCTAAGAATCACACGAGAGCAACTTCATACGTCACGACAATTAGCTCTTCACCCCACTTATTTTACAGAAGTATAAATATTACTATTTTGTTAAAATCATAAAAGCACTCTGGCCAGTGTGATTCGGTGGTTAGAGCACTGGCCTGTGCGCAGAAGGATCACGGGTTCGACTCCCAGTCAAGGGCACGTACCTGGGCTGCAGGTTCTATCCCTGGAGCTGTCAGGAGGCAACCAGTCGATGTCTCTCTCTCCCTCCCTTTCACTCTCTCTAAAAAAAAAATTAATGAAAAACATATCCTTAGGTGAGGATTAACAAAGAAAAAATACACAGCTCTGCCAGTGTGGCTCAGCGGATTGAGCGTTGTCCCCTGGACTGAGAGGGCCCGGTTTGATTCCCGGTCAGGGCACATGCCTGGGTTGCAGGCTCGATCCCCAGTGAGGGACATGCAGGAGGCAGCCAATCGATGTTTCTCTCTCACATTGATGTTTGTCTCTCTCTCTCTAAACAATCAATAAGGACATTTTTAAAAGAAGAAAAGAAAAAAAGAAAACACATAGAAGCAAAATCAAAAAACAATGATAACCATTTGTTTTGACTCTTGCTAAAAGCACGTTAGTGGTTCCATCTTGAGGAATGCCATCCCACTACCACAGGCCAGGACCCTGGTGACCCCACCTCAACACACTTCACATACTCTCTCCCTAAAAAGCACAGCCTCCATCACGGCTGCTACTGGCCCTGTCCAAGTCCAAGCAGGACTGACTCCGCGGTCTCCACGAATCAGGGTGACATCTCAACCACGTTTGTGTCTCTGTTCTTTCTAGCCACGTGCAAATGGTTGCTAAGTCATAATCAAAAGAATTATCCCAGGAGACTAGGAAGGAACTGTGATTTCAGTTTCTAAGGAAGCTATTAGGGCCGAAATATCCAAAGTGACTCCGGCCCTGGGCAGGAGACCTGTCTGAGAAGAAAGGTCACTAGGTCACTGTGATGACCTCCGCTGACCTCTGAAGAGGCTCAATGTGGCGGGAGCAGGTGTTTCCACATAGGAAACTATGCTCCTTTGCCTAATAAACCGATTAAAAGAAAAACTCTTAAGAAGCGATTAAATATTCCAACCACTCTTCCAATATGCACAAACCGAATGCAGAGGACTCGCCAGTAGTCCCTCAATCAGCGCTTCCTCCGGGTCCCTCTCAGACCTGCCGCCTGCTGCTTCCAGAGGAGGAGTCAGGAGACCCCAGGCAGCCCTGCACTGGGCAGGGAGCTGCTAGTCCTTTCTCCCTCTCCCCCAGCCCCTTGGCTCATCCACACGTAAATGGGGTGATGACAGAACACCACTCGCCTTTCTTAGCCCAACAGGACTCCAGGAAAGTCTTTCCTGGGGAAAAGGTCTGGGTGGAGTGAGACAGAATCGGAGAGACAGGGCGAGAAAGAAAAGGGAAGGAAAAGAGGAAGATGAGAAAAAGAGTCATAGACAATGCGCATAAAAAGGAAGAGTAAAGAAAGACATCCTTTCAAGGGAAGGAAAGATGCACACATATGGGTATACTTTTGGGGGGCTTCCCAGAAACTATTCTTCACATCACTCAGTCCTGGGACCGGACCGGGAAACCTCTTCACTGTGGGTTCTCTTTCCCGGCAGTGCTCTGTCCGTATACTCCTGCTCAGTACAGGTCGGCGTTTCACCAAGGCCGTTCCTGCTACATGGAGTGCGGAGGGTAAGAGGTAAGTGGTACTCTGGTACGGAGTGCAGGGAGGACATGGCCGGAGAGGCCTTCAAAGTGAAGGATGCCAATATGTGCTTCCCCAACCAGTTCGAGGATTATTTTGAGCCCAGGCACAGATGGGCCAGCTGCGCCATTGGGGGAAAAACTGGCCCAATCGCTTACAAAACCAGAGACTCTGCCCTGAGGCCAATACCCTAGGGAAACCCACCGGAATTTCTGGCCTTGAGGTCACCCCAGTGACAACTGTTTGTCTCTTCAGCTCCAGGGCCCAGGCGGCGCATAGAAAAGCTGTGCCATTCTCCAAAGTCTCCATATTCCCTCATTGTGACTTCTGTGAGCAGTCAGAGAGGCCGCATGGCACCACGGACAGTCCGTGGGCTTTGGGGTAATACCAACTGGCTTCAAACCTCAACCTTACTGGCTCTCTGGCCTTAAATGCTTTAAGCAACACCTACGTCAGAAACTTGTTTGCTGTTTAACAGTGAAATTAGATGACAGGTGCACAGACATGATTAGCATCCTATGTGAATTCTCTGATTACTCTTAGAGGTTGGAGGTACTGTCCTCCAAGGTAGTAGGGGCCTTATGACTGAGGATGACGACAACACTGGATACTTTCATCTAAGAGCGATGGTGGCTAAAAGGAGACCAGACACCAAGACTGGAGAAAACTTCTAGACTTAGGGACCCTGATCACATCAACTCTAATCACATCATCAACCAGGAAATGATGCCCTCCCTGACGGTTGAGAATCTGAGACCAAAACAGGTGCTAGTTCCAGCCACAGGTGACAGAATTCCTGACAATAAGCCCAGAACACTGAAGAGTGGGAGACAAGAGAGGGGGATCTGCTGTGCTTGTTCCCTTCAACACTTCTCCACCCTGCACTGGGTCAGGCCAAGAAAATGTCTCTCCAAACCAGCAGTAAGAGAGCACTTGGCTGATTCCTTTCGAGGCTTAGGCAACCAGAAATAGTGTGTTCATAAGCTGTAAAATTTTAGCCTTAGGTCTCTTTTAAAATTTTTTTGAAACATCAATGTTGGTCAGCTGCTTCCTGCATGCCCCCTACTGGGGATCGAGCCCCAAACCCAGGCATGTGCCCTGACTGGGAATCAAACCTGTGAACTCTTGGGACAGGGGATGTCACTCAACCAACAGAGCCACACTCGCAAGGGCAGCATTAGATATCGTATATAAATGGTTTGAAGTGCTGCTTCAAAAATAATTTTTAAAAAATATTTTAAGAGCAGAGGTTTCCTTAGGTAATAATCCACCCCGGGTCATACCTGAGAGGCTGTGGATTTCAGCTTCTGAATGCCGTTCACCAAGTGCTCTTTCTTCTGAGATACCTCATCTTGTCTCTTCTTCAACAGGTTCTTAAACAGGGATATTTGTTCCAGAAAACTCTTTGGGGTGGTATAGTTGTATCTTCTCTCGTTTTGGTAATACTTGGTACTCATTTCATTGACGCTGGTGTGAGCGTGTGTCATGAAAAAGCTAATAGAATCTTTGTCCCGGGGCTGAAAACACAAACATTGCAACGCATGTGAAATTCCTTCAAGTCAAAACAAAAAGGTAATAAAATAAATAAATAAACAAATTTATACAGTGTTTTTTTTTTTCTTCTAAAAGCCAGAACAGATTACAATAGAATCTAGGAACACTTAATTAGTCTTTAAGAGATACCACAGGATTAGAGAGACGGCCAAAAAACAGCGTTCAGCTTTGCTAAACTCTTCTTGCCCAGTGAGCAGAGGATTTTTATGTGCTCCACCCACCAAACCCCAAAGCCAATACGTAACAATGGCGCTACTTCTCACAACTTGATTTTTATCTATCAAGTGTGAGAAAGACAAAACGGAGAAACCCGAGACACAGAACTCGAAGAGACTTCTGTGGCGTTGCTTTCAAACTCAACTTTAGGCAAAGTAAACCAACAAGTCTGCAGTCACTAAAAAGAAAAAGAAAAAAAAAAGCCAAAAACTGAGAAACCCACTTTTATAAGCATTCATGCAAAAACAAACTGGATGGTAATGTATAAAAGTCACTGCTTCTGGGAGAAAAATACCATGATCAGTTATCTTCTTATTTAGAGGAAACAAAAAACGAACGCACCCCCCTCCCCTGCAGGTTCCCTGGAGAACCCTGCCCCCGCCCCACGATGCAGTCTTCTGTTTTGTCCTCTGTGACTTCTGAAGTAGTTAACTTTTTAATTTGTACAGCCACATCTCCCTCATTTTAATGATTATTTATTGCATTCTGTACAAGATGAACCAGGTTCAATTAATCAAGGGAAGCCTAAAAATCAATTAATATGAATTAAATGAGCTACACCAACTCTTAGGAAAGTCACACATAATTTACCAAAGTGTTGTCAATAACACTCAGACCTCTTTGGGAAAATTGTGCACAAGTGGCTGGTGATGCAGTTAAACGCCTCAAACCTGCACCATTAATATGGGCACTGGGAGTGCACGGGGGGGGGGGGGGGGGGGGGGGGGGACAGGCCAGCACTTGCTGGTGAAAAACCACTGTTCCTGAGCACCGTCTACACACACGGCTTTCCGAATCCGGAAAAATTCCTGAGTGGGTTTAAAATACGTACACATTGGATTGTGCTGCATATTAAAAATCCATTTCACTAGTAACAAGTTTTTCAAGCAAAAATTACATCTTGAATACAAATCCTGAATATTCTTCGTTTGTAGTAGATCCAAGACCTGTGTAGATTTCCAACCGGTGAACTCGGAAATGGGGATGTATAAGGAAGTGATATAAACTCATTGGAAATTATATCCCCTTGGGCATTTAATTTTTTAAAACAGCCTGACTACAATATAAACATGGGTGGAAATTCACCCCTGTTCTGTCTTGTAATGTGAACTGAAAGGGTGCACACATCCTTCTAGAATATAGATAAATACCTCCCAGCCAAGTGCAACCTCCTTACGGAGGGAAACAAGGGAGCAAACCCTGGCCTCTGCCCAACCACGACCCCATTCGGAGGTTCCAGGGCTGCCCTGAGGGCTCTCTTTAAAACAGTGTCACTTGTAAATCCGCGGTGGAAGAAGTGGTTTCCGGTGGAGCTGGAAGTGGCCCGAGACAACTTGTCTCAATGGGGCAAAATAACTATTGTTATCGGGCTTAACAAAATGGCACAGCATGGGAGCCTCGCCGAGCCAGGGAGCAGCTGGTTGTAATTCACACTGTTTTTCAGAAAACTCTAATCGTTCCAGAACAGACCTCTTTGATGCCTGGTCTTCCCTGCATTCTCAATTTGTCACTTTCTCTTATGATAAGGTCAGTAGTGACAGCACTTCCTGACATTAACAGCTGTGGCTTTTAAAGGGTCATTGTAGAACTACTAATTGCAGTAATTTCATTAGCATAAATTATTTATTCTGCCATTCATTTCTCTCCAGTTTTCTTTGGGGTGGGGGCGGGCAGGGAGGAGATGGCGGCTGGGCTGCTGCAGGGACGGCCATGCGACGCTGTATTTTTCACTTTTTGACGTGAGAGCAAAGGACATCATTCCTGCTACATTTGGCCCCTAAGTGAACACCAGTTGACCCCATTCCGTAGCTATTTGGCAGCCAATCATGGTGAAGGCAGAAAACACTGTGTCACTATCAAATGGTTATAAATCCAAGGAAAACAATGTTGTATTCAACACATAACCAAATGCAAAATTCAAACTGCGATTTCTTCACATTAATAAAGAGGAACTCGTTTCTCCTCTCTCGGTTGGCTCGCTGTAAACAGAAAAACAAGCACAGCTCCCTGTTACTTGGTGTGACGGTCCCCGGCTGCTGGCAGTTGCTGCCACACCGAGAACTTCAGCCCAGGTCACAGAGCAAAGGCCCAGGATGTCCCTATGGTTAAGAATGACAAACAGCAAAATTCGAACACAGGCCAATATCTGAGGCCAGAACACAAACATTGTGTTACATAGGATTTAAACCTTCCCAAGACCAGCAACGAAGATTGTACAGGTCTGTACTTTTACATTTGGACTTTCAAAAGTATTATACTCAAAAGAGGAGGCAGGTGAAAGAAAATGATTTCCCTTTCTTATGTTTAACTTAGGATACCTTTGTAGCATATAATGTCTTTTTTTTCCTTTTTAATCCTCACTCGAGGACATTTTTCCATTTTTTGTTCAGATAGAATAGGAGGGAGAGAGAGAGAGAAACATCGACGTGAAAGGGACACATCGAGTGGCTGCCACCCACACGACCAACCAGGGCCGGGGACAAACTGCAACCGAGGTACATGCCCTTAGCGGGAACCGAACCCGGGTCTCTCTGGACCACAGGCTGATGCTCTAACTGCTGAGCCAAACCGACCAGGGCGCATATAATGTCTTATACCTACTGTCTATCTTGAAAGTTTTTCTCAGGAATTACTTCTGTTCTATTTATTTATTTTTATTTTAAAGCTTTATTGAAATATAACTGATATAGGAAAGTGTACATATTATACTTATATTAATATTTTAACAATTCCAAACTGCTGAGTTATAAAATTATTTGTACTTTTTAGTCCCTTTTGAGGCTGGTAAAAGCAGAGAATATATTCATTAGATACTCGTGGCTGTCAGGTTGGTTTATGGAAGGAAATTGAATAATGCAGAACACGAGAGTATTGCACCTAAGCCCCTCTCCTAAGCTCTTGCAGGTGCTGCCTGGCTTCCAGAGCAAGATTCAGCAGGCAGCAGGAGATGTGGGGTTGGAACCCTCGAACCTGGATTGGATTTCCAGTTCTGTAAAGTTGGGCAAATTATTGCATTCCCTGTACTTTCTCCTTCTGCCCACAAAATCAAACCTTAAACTTTCATTACTTCTTTTCACTCTGTGTCTTTCCTTCCTTTCATTCCTCTTTCAGAACAGTGAAACATTTGTGCAATCATGAAAAGCAGGATTTAAGACTACGGGTTCTCGTGTCCCAGTGTGCATGGGCCTTACCTGCTGAGCGATCGATCCTGCGCCTCCATCTCCTCACCTGTGCAACAGGGAAACTGAGGCTGCCTTGGAAGGTGGGTGCTTGGAGGTGGCAAGCAATGCGAATGCGTTACTTCTGTCATGGGTGGTGGTAACAGCAAACCAACAGGAGGCCCAGCCAGATTACTACCACCAGACAGAGCAGCCACAAATGTTAGATGGAGCACCAAACCCCGTTTTACAAGTCTTATGCAATTTTTTGTGTTTGTTTGTTACTTTGGTGGATGCATTTTGTTGTTAGTTTGCTCGTGCTTTTAATTCTTTGTCTTTTAGAGACCAAGCCTGAGTCAAAGGCGAGATCAAGTCCAGCCAAAGCCAGTAAGCTTCCAGATGAGTTTCCAGTCACTGGAAACAGTAACTTCACTGGTTCTTGGACAGAACATTAAAACAAAGCAGCAGCTGAGGACTGCGGCTGTGAGCAGGTGAAACAGAGCCCAGCCACCCCTCTTATGGCAAAAAGGTGAGGCAGGAGATGGTGTAGCTGCCGGGTGAGGCTGGCACTAGGGGAGAGCCACAGAGCTACACGTTGGAGGTGGTGATGCCTCCACTTGACTTAGCTAAACTTTTGGCTTAACAGCATGTCCAGGTTCCTGGGCAGCTATAAAAACTGGACCCTACTGTTGAGATAGAGGGGATTCCTGAAGTTTCCATAGCAGCCAAAGCCCTGGAAAGCAGCCTTCTGTTGCTTCTCACAGTTCTCTTCTGAGTTCGATCCCCATGCACAGAGCAAGTAATATCTGGTGGACAGTAGACCAGTGTGCATGTGTTCTGACCGGGAACTGAACTGGGAACCTCTTGGTGCATGGGTCGATGCTCAACCACTGAGCCGCACCGGCCGGACTGAAGAAATCCATTTTTAAATACAGCAGTAAAATCACTTTCCTCTTAGAGTGGATGTTTTCTACAGTTGGTTTGGAGAAAATGGGAGTCAAATATGCCATCTGTATGTTACCAAACCCTGCAATACGGTCTGGATAGAAGACATATGGCAAGTGGAGTGATGACATTTTATCGAAAATGCTGACGATACTGAGCTTGTGTAATTATTTTTAAGTTGCGTTAACATGCTTCTCCACCTTGCTCAGATCTTTGTTCTACCCCTTCCAATGCCAACCCCACTCCTCAGCCAGAGCTCATCTTGTCATTACCTCTCATAATGTCCCCTTTCATCAGAGCCGACTCTCAAGTGCGTCTCCTTTTTTATTTGAAAAGCAAAAACGGGGCTAGCCTTCTAACACCTGTTTCTCTTGCCTTTTTTCTTGAATGTGCTTCTCAGTAAGGTCTCCTCCCAATGTTTACTTGGGACCCCACTTCCAGGGATGCCCCCTTCTCTCTCTCCTTGCACCACACCGTCCCATCTCCGTTTCCAAATCTCCCATGAGGAGGAGCATGTGTTGACAGTCTTCAGATAAATACCCAGCAGTGTTGAAGTGTCTAGCTATTCTGGTCATTCTGTCAGCTGTCATTTAGTTCAAAACCAGGTAACAGAAAAGTAGCACAGACATTTACATAGATGCAGCCAGCCCACACTCCTGGGTGCTGCGTGCGTACTGACTGCAAATTACACGTCAACACCCAGCAAACCGCCTGCCTTTCTCTGTGGCTAAAGGCGGTCACCTTGGGTAAGTACCTTACACTCAGCAAACGAGGTCGATAATTAAGAAGTACCCAAATTATGCTGATAACTTTCACTCTTAATAATGGATATTAAAACTAAGAAAGTGGTCAAATTAGTGCTCATGCAAAACATCGAAATGCTATTTTTGACCTCTACAGAAAAGGCACCACACGTATTCAGAAGAACACGGACGAGTTGCACTTTGAATTATAATTATTGCTCCTGAGTAACAAATTAGGAAGGAGGGAGAGTTAAATAAGCACACTGCACTGAACGGAAATCATCTGGCTAATTTGTTTCCAGGCATAATTCAGCCCCGTTGAAGTGGTAAAGTGCTTTTCAGATTCTCTGTGGCACTCGGCATCCGATAGGAGGCGTCACGACACCACGGGATGGAGTTGAACATCTGCCAGGAGCCCTCTGGACTTAAAATGATGCAAGTCCTGCTTCGTCCAGCAGATGTCAATGGTCACTGGCATTTCGAAGCTCCTTCTGTAGTAACTGTTTTCAGAGTGGCACCTACTTGGACATAACAAAGCCTGAGCCAGAACGGCAAAGGCAAGGAACTTACACAAGCATGGTGCTCAACACTAATTTAAACCAGGCTACTAGCTCTCATCTCCTCCCATGTGAGACACTGACATCAAGTGTCCTGGGCTTTCTCTTCCCCAAACCAGCCTGATGCCATGAACGGGATGAAACAGAATTTTGCAACCAAAAGATACATACCGACTCTCTCCCTCTAATAAATTGGTATTTTGAACCCTTCTTGTAATGATTAGATGATAAAATAAAGCCCTACATAATTTCAGGAATGCAATGAACCTAGGGGTAGCCTAAGAAATTTGTGTTAATAATTGCGACTATTATTTGTCATATGTAACGGTTTTCCTGATATTAAATTATAAACTATATCTGATGGGCTTTTACCTAATGTTAGTGTTAGTTCCCATGATGTGGGCTTCCTTTGACTCTTCAGGAAGACACGGAAGCACTCTGAATGTCCAGCCTATGCCAGGCACCTCTTCGCCTCACCTGTCCGCGGGACCCGAACACAGACCTCATGGGCAACGTCTGCAATCGTCACCCTCCAAACGACCTCATCAGAAAGGTGCTACACACAAATCCAACTTCATTTCTAGGACGTCTCAATGAGACTTCCATATTTACTATCCTTTTGCCTTTAAATCCGAACCCTTGAAGTTTTTATTTTGGTTTCATGAACCATTTTAAAATGCACTGGGAGGGGCAAATCTCCTATGATCAAATGGCAAACAAGACCTATAAAACATAAACCCATAAAACAAAGAGGCAGATTCTTGATCTGACTTAGTGAATGCTGAATTTAGGGGGCTGATTTTTCACCTGTCAATACTGTAATGAGAAAAATCCCAACTAACTGCCTTCCTTTGTTAAGATCAAGCCCTGCACGGCTATGGGTGGCTAGTTTTTTGTTTGGGATTTTAGCTGTGGACTTAAAGGATTTATATTCAGTAAGCCCTGTTATGAATCAAGGAAATAATGAGCCTGGCCTTCTCGTGAGTCAGGGCATGAGTCAGAACATGCTCACGCACTGTATGGGAGTGTGTGTGCGCGTGCGCGCATGTGTGTGTGCATGTGCACGGGCACACACACATGCACACATCGCAACTTGGTGTAAACCATCATATTCCATAAAATGTGAACTAACAGAGATAATCTTATCAGCTTCAATAAACTAGGACAACTTTCTGATAGGAGGTGTAATTTGGAAAACATGTATTAAGAACTTTTGGTCGGAGTGAGTGAGAGTGAGTGCGTGTGTGTGTGTGTGTGTGTGTGTGTGTGTGTGAGATGTGCAGAGACTGACACGACATACCTCAATCCCCTTGATGTCCTCAATGAACCTCCTGCTGACTGAGGCCAGAGCCTCCTGCGGCCATGCATGAAACCAGTCAATAGCCGCGCAGTTAACTATGGCTGGGAACTTCCGAGCTCTAACTCTCAGCGTGCGACCAACTGGAGAGAAGCACAAAATGATCTGCGGAGACATGGGGGCGGGGCAGAAACGGGGTGAGGAGTGAGCACAGCGTTACACTGCATCCTGGACAATGAAAGAAAGGGGCACAGCCAACCGTGACATTCAACTACCCTGGAGAACCCGGAGGGCAGCAGCATTAACCTCCCTGCTAACCAGCCTAACCCTGCCCAGCACGGCTGGTCCACCAAACATACAGAAACACTGCTGTTTACGTTCCTTAAAATTTGTCTCTCCCTTTTAAACATTTTTGATGATTACCAGTAATAGTGGGAAACTTATCTTTTTCTATTACACAAATACCATTATCACAATAAAAAACAAATTCAAATAACCATGACAAAATAGTGTCAATACTTTCTGTCTCCTTCCATTCTCTAATTCATCAGTCTCCATAAAACTGTGACGCACTTTCTTAAAAAACAAAGACAAACCAAAAAAACAATGTTTTATCATATTGATTATTTTGTTCTAATTTAAAATAAAGTACACTCACTTGAGTTCTTGACATTTTTAAAGGAGTAAAAAAATTCAGTTTACTTAATGCTTGTGATAAGAAATTTATAAGTTTCTGGTTTAAATCTAAAGTTTTATTTAGGTAATTAATGAGTTAAGAATTAAAATCTGAATATGTTTCTCCACTCTGTTCCAAAGGTTTGATTTTCTTCCTATAGCATTTAAAAAATTCACATAATAAAATTCACCAAATAACATCACCATCATATATGAAGCCATGTAATAGCTCATTTAACATATGCTCTTATGTTTATTTAATTTTCGATGGCTCTTCAACAACTCAAGAGAGCTAAACCCTGAGATCTAAAATGTTTTTTAACAATGCATAAGCTGACTAATCACATATTCATTATATTCAAGGGTCTAGTTACACACTTATTAATTGCTCTAATATTGCATGTGCGAAGTCAGCTAGCCTCAGTTACAAGGCATAATTTTCACTTATATCTCAGTTCTTAGGTTTCTCCTACCAGCCTTCTTTTCTCCCCATACTTGAATATTTCTCCTTTCTGTCTGAGAAGGTGGTTTTCCACACCCAACTTCTCTCTCATTCGTGACAATTTTAGAAAACTTCACTTACACATAGTTTTTGCAAAGGCAGAGGAGAAAAAAGCATCCTTTACTTGAGCTGCTAACTATTTCCATCACATCTACACGTTACACTTCTACGCTTGTCGCTGGCATATTGTCTGGATGGGGCTTAGCCGTTTGTGTCAACACATCCCCCAGGTGGTTCTCCATCCACAACTGCAACCTAATATGAGGTTACTGTGGGAATACTTAAATGAAACATTTACATTTTCAATGCTTTTGCAATTGGTGAAATACTCAGAGAATCTAAGTCTCTATTCTACATACAGAGTGAAATAAAAAAATTAAGGAATTATAGCCCTGGCCGGTTTGGCTCAGTGGTTGGAGTGTCGGCCTGCAGACCAGAGAGTCCTGGGTTCAGTTCCCACTAGGGGCACGTACCAAAAAAAAAAAATTAAGGAATTTTATTTCTTTTTATCTTTTAATCCTCACCTGAGGATATCCTTCCACTGATTTTTTTTTAGATAGAATGGGAGGGAGGGAGACAGAGAGAAACATCAATGTCAGAGAGACATATTGATTGATTGCCTCCTGCATGACCCTGACTGGGGCCGAGATTGAATCTGCAACGGAAGTACGTGCCCTTGACCAGGAATCGAACCCATGACTCTTTGGTCAGCAGGCCGATACTCTAACCACTGAGAAAAACTGTCCAGGACATTAAATAAATTATATAATCATTAATAACCTAAATTCTACCATTTAAAATAGATGCTGGGAACTATATTAGAGAACTATACCTGCTCATTAGTACTTTCTAAGAAGGGAAAAGGACAGTATCACAGCCTGGAGGGTGCAATTATTGATCCAATTCACTGCTCAATTTCTAGTTTTGCTAGAAATCAAACAGAGAATGTATCCTGCCATCCAGTTTCCTTGGTAGTAGTCTTACATGATAGTTTCTTGAGAGCCCATGCTAATGTCTGGAAACTTAAACAGTCTCTACAACTTTATAGATTACCTGGAGTAAACTCAAGTTGTTGCTCAAGGAACATTATTATGGGGGAGGGGGAGAAATCATTATTTCCCTATTATACTTCCCTTAATTTCTTGAGAGATTAACATAGTAACACATTTATAAAAGATAAAAAGACAGCCCTGGCCGGTTTGGCTCAGCGGTAGAGCGTTGGCCCGCAGACCAAAGAGTCATGGGTTCAATTCCAGCCAAGGGCATGTACCTTGGTTGCGGTTCGTCCCCGGCCCTGGTGGGGGTTGTGCGAGAGGCCACCAATCGATGTGTCTCTCTTACATCGATGTTTCTCTCTCTCCTTCCTTCCCCTCCCTTTCACTCTATCTAAAGATAAATGGAAAAAATATCCTCGGGTGAGGATTAAAAAATAAAAATAAAAAATAAATAAAAAGACAAATAAATGATAGATAAAAGGGCGTTACATGTTGTTTATAATTTACTTTTTCAGCTTTATTGAGGTATAACTGACAAAACTGTGAGATGTTCAAAGTGTATGTGATGATTTCATACACACATTGTGAAAGGATCCACTCATCAAGTCAATTAACACATCCATCACCCCACATCTTTACCTTTTTATGTACGTTAGAACATTTAAGTTCTCCTCTCTCCGCAGATTTCAATTATACAAAACATATCTATCAACTACAGTCACTTTATACATTAGATCCTCAGATCTTTTTCATCTTATAATTTAAAGTTTTTACTCTGTTTATCAATCTCTCCCCATTTCTTTGCCTATTTTTCAATTGGGTTGTTTTATTTTTATTTTTTCTATTGAATTGCATAAGCCCCTTGTATACTTTGGATATTAACCCCTTATTAAATATGTGGTTTGAAAATATTTCTCCCATTCCACAGATTGCCTTTTCATTTTGTTGGTTTCCTTTGCTGAGTATAAACTTTTTAGTTTGATATAGTTCCACTTGTTTATTTGCTTTTATTGCCTTTGCTTTTGGTGTCAAAACTAAAAAATAAAAATAAAAATCATCACTCAAACCCCTTGTCAAGGAGCTTACCCCCTCTTCTGGGAGTTTTATGATTTTGGGTCTTCCATTCAAGTCTTTAATCCATTTGAGTTGATTTTTATCATGATGTAAAATATGAATCCAGTTTCATTCTTTCGCATGTGGCTATTCAGTTTTCACGACATTTATTGAGACTATCATTTCCTCATTGCATATTTTTGCATCCTTTGTTGAAAATTAATTGACCATATATACACGAATTTATTTCAGGGCTTTCTATTCTGTTCCATTGATCTATGTATCTGTTTTATGCCAATATCATACTGTTTTGATTACTACAGTTTGAAATTAGGAAGTTTGATGCCTTGAGCTTTATTCATCTTTCTCAAGATTGCTTTGGCTATTCAGATTAAAAATTTTAAGATTTTTTTTTCTTTTTATATGAATAAATGCCCCTGGAATTTTGATAGAATTACATTGAATCTGTAGATCATTTTGGGTAGTATGGAAATTTTAACAATATTAATTCTTCCAATCCATGAACATGGGATATCTTTCCATTTATTTATGTCTTCAATATCTTTTATAATTTTTTCTAGTTTTTTAAAAATATTTTATTTTTATTGATTTTAGAGAGAGAGAGAGAGATAGAAACATCTATGAGCGAGAACATCGATTGGCTGCCTCCTGCATGCCCCATACTGGAGATTAGGTCCAAAACCTGAGCTTGTGCCCCAACTGGGAATCAAACCAGCGACCTCCTGGTGCATGGGTCAGTGTTCAACCAGTGAGCCATACTGAGCATTTTTATAGTTTTTAGTGTATAGTCTTTCACCTCCTCAGTTAAATTTATTCCTAAGTATTTTTTATGATAATGTAAATGAGATAGTTTTCTTAATTTCTTACTGATAGTTTATTAGTTTACTTTGTCTTGTTCCTGATCCTCAGCTTTTCACCACTGAGTATTAGTTTACAGAAAAGCAACAAAATTTTTGTGTTTTGATTTTGTATCCTGTAACATTATTGAACTCATTGATTAGTTCTAATAGTTTTTTGGTGGAGGCATTAGGTTTTTCATACATAAAATTTTATCAACTGCAAACAGAGAATTTTACTTCTTTTTTGATTTGGATGACCTTTATTTTCTTTTTCCCTTCTTCCCCTTTTCTTTTGCCTAATTGTTTTGGCTGGAACTTCCAACGCTATGTTGAATAAAAGTGGTGAGAGTGAGCATCTTTGTCTTGTTCCTGATCCTCAGCTTTTCACCACTGAGTATGATATTAGCTGTGAGTTTGTCATGCATGACCTTTATTATGTTGAGGTATATTACCTTATACTTTGTTGAGAGTTGTTATCATAAATGAATGTTGACTTATGTCAAATGTTCTTTCTAAATCTATTGAGTTGATCATCTAATTTTTATCCTTCATTTTGTTAATGTGGTGTATCATATTGATTGACATACAGGTATAGAGCCATTCTTGCATCATTGGGATAAATCCCACTTGATCCTGGTGTATTATCCTTTCAATGTACTGTTGAGTTCAGTTTGCTAATATTTTGTTGAGGACTTTTGCATCTATGTATCAGGAATATTGACCTGTAACTTTCTTTTTGACCTGTAGTTTTCTTTTATCTGGCTTTGGGATGAGGGTAATGCTGGCTTTGTAAAATGAGTTCTCCCACCTCTTCTATTTTTTTGGAAATTTGTGAAGAATTGGTATTAATTCTTCTTTAAATACTTGGTAGAAATCACCAATAAAGCCATCGGTCCTATATAATTTACCTTTGAGCCAGGTCAGTATGGCTCAGTGGTTGAGCATTGACTCAAACACCAACAGGTCACTGGTTCGATTCCTGGTCAGGGCACATGCCCAGGTTGTGGGCCCAGTCCCCAGTGGGAGGCATGCAAGAGGCGGCCACTTGACGTTCTCTCTCATAGATGTTTCTATCTCTCT